GGGACAAAAATGGCCATCACGTGCCCTCCCCACCAGCAGCAGTTGGTCAACCCTCAGGGGCAAACCATGATGCTAAGCCCTACCTCAGTACCTCCAAGTCCAGTATCTATGCCTTCACAAGTGAGTGGGGGCATGGAGGCACAACAGACTCAGAGCCCCTTCCATGGGATACAAGGTAACCCTGCTGAGGGAGTTAGGGAAAGTCAGGGAATGATGACAGCAGAGCAGCGACAGATGCCTCAGCCTCAAACACAGCCTTTGAGGGAGTTATCGGCCCCGAGAATGGCAAGTCCTCGTTTCCCTGTGGCTCAGCAGCCTAAACCTGACTTGGAGCTGCAGGCTGGCAGAGGTGATAGGCAAACGACACATGCACCTATGCAGGACTCTGAGGTATCACTTGCTCTCAGGGCAACTCCAACCTCCCTCAACCAGTTACTGGATAACACAGGTATCCCAAACATGCCTCTTCAGCCTGTACCTGTTAGGGATGTGATGGGAAAAGACAGCCCCAAGTCTGCTTTGGATCCAGACAGACCACTCCACAGTAATTCCCAGAGTACAGATGTTTCAGCCTCTGTCTCGACTACTGCCACTATAAGTGAATCGGAAGCTAAACCCAGACCTGCTGTTCCAGTCCCCACCAGCAGTCCTAACTTGCAGCCTGCTTCAATTCCCAGCTCTCACCCTAGCACTGTTTTGAACTCCAATACTACCCCCAGCCTTAATCAAAACCCCATCTCCAGTCTTGGTGTCAGTCCCAGTCCAAATGTAAACCCAATAACTACTCTTTGTAACACCCTCAGTACTAACACTAATACCACCCCGAGTTTAAACCCCAACCCAGTCACTTCTGGTCAGAGCAGTTCTGCCTTAGCTGTTAGTACCAGTTCTATCTCCAGCTCTGCTCTAAACCCAGCCAGTTCAGCTCTAAAACCAAACCCTAGTCCTAAACCTGTGACAAGTGTTCACTCAGTCATACAGATCCCTGCCTCCTCTAGCACCATTTCCCCCAACCAGATCACTGTGTTTGTCACCTCCAACCCCATCACCTCAGCCCCCACTCCCCAGGCACCCACATCTATGGTCTCCACCATGGTGGCTGTCCCTAACAAGAACATTAGACCTCAGGACATCCGGCAGCAGACCCCTGTCCCCCGACCTCCTCAGTTTATTGCCACCACCCCTGTATTTATCAACCCAATTTTCCAGGTCCCGGGTGCACCTGTGGCTCCCAATACCACAATGGTATCACAGTCAGTGACCATGGTGGGGCCTATCCAAGTGTCCACTACAAACATCCAACTCTCTCCTGCCCCAAGCTCCACCCAGTCCTCGGGGGCTAACATGACCGGCACTCAGCCTGCCAGAAGTGCTGTTGGACAGGTCCAGATTGCTACTACTATGTCATCATCAGCCCCACTTGGTACTCTCACAACTCCTCAGCAAATTAACTCAGTGGCTCTCAAAACAGAAAATGTAGGTGAGGCAATTTCTGCTCAGAAAGCTAGTCCTCCGGTCCAGCAGCCATCTCCTCATCCAAGCCCGTCAGCTTCATCTCCCTTTCAGCCACCCCTGGCTTCTCCACCTCCCTGCTCTAGTCCTGGGGTTGTAAACACCATTCGGAAGACCACCATGTCCCCATCTCCTGCGGCTCAAGTGAAAAGTAAACCTGCACAGGCTTCTGCAGCTGTTTCTGGTTCAGCTGACTCTCAGCAAAGTCCTGTGGAAAGGCCTGCAGAGGGGCCCACTGTGGCTGTGCCACCGCAGGTCTTTCATCCTCCTGCTAGTCCTGCCATTCAGACTGAAGCACCAGCTCCCCATCAAAGTGCTGTTGCTCCAAACAACATTACTCCATCTGCAGTCTCTTCTCCAATCCCAGTTCCTGGCCAAGTTGCTGTTCCTACTCAGATTGTTGCCCAGGCTGCAATTACTGCACCAGCTACAGTAACAAGTCCAGCCCAGCCTATAACCTCTCAAGCTCCTATTGTCACAGTAGTTGGCACTACCACAGACGCCGCTTCTGCTACCTTGCTCTCTACGGTCGCTCCTGTACAAAGTCCTGTACCGTCCATTGTTCCAATTGCTGCTGCAGCTGGACCTGTGCAGGAGGTTCCCCCGACCACATCCTCTCCAGTTGCTAACCCCAGCGGAGTTCCACCAGTTCAGTCTGACGCCCCAGTGATGGAGCCTCCCATGCCCCCAGCTGCAGCACCTCATGAAACCACTCAGACCACCCCAGGTAAACACACAATTATGAGCCAAAAAAACATCGGGTAAGTCTGCATGTATCAAGTAAACAGGATAAGAATGATACTCTGGCCATAATTCTTTGTCAGGTCAAATTGATGACTACACATACCGTGTGTCACTGCTGCGGTAAGGGTTAGTTATAACATGTCATGTAACATGTTATGCAACTTCAAGTGTCATGCAACCTTAAGTATCAAGCTTTCTTGGGTTTGAACATTTTGCAAAGAATATTTTCTTTTTGTTGTTTAAAAGGGAAAACACTTGCTCTATGCAAAACCATTGATAACTGGAGGGCTTAGTAGAGAGGAGACTGTTAGACAGTTAGGCAAAGCTTCTGCTCAACACCCAGCATACGTACATAGCCACTTTATATATTGTTTTAGTTGAACAATCTGTGATGCATATTTCTACCTAATAATTTGTTTTACATATTCAAATGTGTCAGTTGAACTATCTCATAATTTTCCCTAGCACCTATTCCACAAGAAGTCCCACAGTCTCAGGAACCTGTTGCTACCGAGAAGACAGGTAAGTGTATCCATCCTTTTTTTTTTTTTTTTTTTTTTTAATTTATTTATTTTTTTTATGTTCTTTTAAGAAGTTATTGGAAATGCTTGTCTTTTAAGCAGGAAAGAACAATTATAGTCTTATTGTAAGTAATTGTCTTAGAAATAAATCTTGTCTTTGTNTAATTTATTTATTTTTTTTATGTTCTTTTAAGAAGTTATTGGAAATGCTTGTCTTTTAAGCAGGAAAGAACAATTATAGTCTTATTGTAAGTAATTGTCTTAGAAATAAATCTTGTCTTTGTCCTATTCAGGTGAAGAGGTCTCAACAGGTTCTGAGCAGGGGTAAGAGTCCTTCATAACGATTGTATTCTTTTAATTGCTGTGTTGTTGATTAGCTGTGTAATGCTTAATGTGCTGGGGTTTATTAAGGTGTCCGTTGCTATTGATCTCTGAAAAGTTGGCCTAGTCTTAAAACCCGTGCTCCTGAAGGAGAAATGCTTAGACATTTCTAACTCTACTGAAACTCAGGGAGTTCATTTGGTTGGCCAAGCGGGTGAAAACAATGAGCCACGTGGCCTCAGCACTTGGTATGTATGATTAGCATGCAATAATATAAATATACTAATGCATGTCAGAAGTTTAAATAAAGAACAGCCTATCACAAAGAAAGCTGTACTACTCCTCTGACCGTTATGGCCATATCTCTTTTCCTGGGGATTGTCATAATATGGTGGGGAAGTGAAGCCATGTTTGTTCAGCACAGTTTATAGTTTACCGCTGTTTTTCCACTTCTATCACAGATGGGCAAAGAAAAGAAAGACGCCCATCAACTTAGTCCCAAGGTATGTATTTTAACATGTTGGCGCTGCAAAGACACAAGCAGTGATCATGTCGACGTAGTGGATGCTGTCGGGATGAAGACGGACAGTATCTGTGGTAGACGAGGAAAAACAGCAGTCCTGAGTGGTATTATATCTTTCTCTGAGTAGAGCAGAGTTAACTCACACCCGTGCATGTTTAATAACACATCCTTGTGTTGTCCTTTTCTTCCTTGTCGTTTGTTGTTTTTCTGTGTGGTCCTCCCAGAGCTGCTGTGGAGAAGCCCAAGGGACCGAGCAGACGCAGCTCCCGGGCAGAGAAGGAGGTGGAGGAGGAGCCAGTAGCAGACAGTGGCATTAGGAAGAGATCAGCCAGGCCTGGAACCAGTGCTGCTGTAAAAGGTAAACACGCAAGAAGAATATCTCACTGCACCTAAGCTATACATATGGTATTACTACCTGTTTCCCTAATGCACCTGTATGTGCTTTTAAACAGAAACTGGAGCGAGCCCCACCCAAGCCAAACGAAGGAAGTCTAAATAGACACAACTGCAGTTGTGACAACCTGTGAACTGTACTGTAAATGTTTTTGTTTTCCGCTGTGAATCATTTGATATCGGTTTCTCTGTCCCAGATTATGAATTTTCATTGGAAGAGGAAACCTTGTACAGATTGTTTTAAAAAGAATTATGCTATTGTTTTGTCCATGCTATTATGTGAGATTGTAGTTAGAATGTGTGCATACAGTATGTGTTTGTGTGAATGTGCTTTTTATATTAAATGCTGGATTAATCATGTGAAGACTGATAATGGAGCTTGTTATGATTGTATAATTATGTTGTAAAACTGAATTAAATTTTCTACTGCTTTTGTTCCGTGAAACTGAGTAATATGATTCATGTATTTTCCCAAGGGCCTAAGCTTTGGTCACAGTTTTTTAATTCTTCCCAGTACTGTGTTAAACTCCTAGATTTCTGAGAAGCACTTAGTAGAGGGCGATGTAAATAGTCAGGTCTCCTCTCCCTTTACGTGAAGAGAAATTGAAGTACAGACGGCACCTAATGCTCACGAACGGAAATGCAGGTGTGTAGTAGTGAGGTGAATAGTAGACTGCTCCGACTGATATATTATTATTTGTGACATCATTATGTGATTAATACTGAAGCATCAGTGTGTAAGCAGCATGTTCCTTTTGTAGCTGCTGGAGGGTTGAAGTTTGATGTACAGTTTTATACAAAGGGACACCAGATAAATACTGAGGTGTGCTATGTTTTACCTGTCTGTACCCCATTTCTCATAAGCCTTCCATGAACCGCCTGTAACATAAAGCATTACAAAGATTCCTTTTGAAAAATATGTTGCTTTGTTGTATAAGAAGTGAATTACTCATGTTACTACTGATTGCTAATAGTTGGCAGTGTTCAGCTCAGGAATTGATAAGGTATAAGGGGAACTCAGGATCCACTGATGCTGCTACGCCCCAGCAGAAACAAGTCCTTTATGAATGTAGTAAAACAGGCTAATAGTGAGAGAAATTAAAGTGTCCACACTGGCTTGATAGCTGATATTTGGATTGTGCTTCAGGTAGGGAGCACGCAGAGTATCTTCTGTGCTCAGGTTGGTGTGAGCATGCGCAGTCCGTGAACATTGGGACTCCATTCCAGTGTGTCAGTGAGGGTTCCCTGAGCCTCGCATCCTCAACAGCTGTCTACTGTGATAACTTCACCTGCTTTACAAACAAAAACAACTTGACCATGAGCGGAGATCATGGACATGGAGGCTCTCAGGTAGCTTTTTGTCAATAATTCGTGTTTTTCTGGTCAGTTTGTATGAATTCCTCGGCAATAACGGACATAACTGACAAGTATTAATCGTCTTGGTGTGAAATAACGGTGAAGAAATGTTAGCTAATGTTACAAGTTACGCTGCTCTCTTTGTCATTTCAGTGAAAACTTTGAAATCATGTGCAGTATTTGCGTTTTGTTGCAGCAAAAATAAACGTTATTTCTCGGGTACAGCTGTATGCCAATTGAAACTTGAATTACCCGAGCTACCGGCATTTTCAAAATTGAAATATTAAAAACATCCTTTTTCACAATTTCCAGGTCAATTCGGGATCTAAAGGAAGCGGTAGGTCCTCTGATGAGGATTTTTTTATTCATACTGACTCTGATTTCCAGTCGGAATCGTGATCTGTCTACTGTTAGTTGTTAAAAGGACAGAAATGGCGTCCCAGAGACTAAGTCCCTTCTCCTCCACTCTCTTGCGGCTATTGTTCAAAAAGAGGGTCTGAAATGTACACTTGCCACCCTCGGTTTTTTAATCTGATGAGGTATTCCGAAAGGGCCTGGCATCGTGTTTATTTTGCATGCTTTAGTTTGATAATCTGTGCGTGCATTTACAACGAATTTTGGAGCCGAAAGTGGCAGAATTGGGGCTGAGGACTTAGTCTCTGCGCCATTTTCTTTTTCTGTATGTAGCGGTCAGGGCGCCGATCAGTGAGCCAACTGTCTGCCGTGATATGGAGGCGAGAGCTGGGAGCTTATCGCCTCTCCCTGCCCGTATCTCACCACCAGCTGCACTCTCGCCTCCATCTCCGTGCGAGAGACATTTATCTGCACTGCCAACAGGGAATCCTCACGCATGAGTTTGTAACTCAAAGTCACAGAAAAGAAAAGTTGCACTACGTGATTAAAAGCATATGCGTTCAGCAGTCTTTTTTTTTTGTTGTTGTTGCACAAATTATACTATCCGCACAAGAGTAACCGTCACTATTATAAAGTTGAGAGGGCTTTTTTATTTCTTGATGGCTTAATTTGCAGCCCGATTTGCTGTTGATAAAAGCAGTCTGTAGGTTTATAGCTGGGATGTGTGTTACTGTTTCATGTGACAATAGCAGATAACGCTTTTATTAAACTGCCATGACAACAGGGGGCCACGAGGTGATGATCAAGCCAAACCAGGTCTACCTCAGGAGGGGTTTCACTCAGCGGGAAATATTCTTAGTACGAAGACTCATGTAAAATTGGTAACAGTATAACCATTTGAGAAGCTGCACTGAGAGTAGGAAAACGATTTTGCCTCTCAAGTGTTACCTCATAGTTCCTATTAAAAAAAATAAATCAAAAGTTGGACAACAGCCTGCTGAAAAAAAAGTTGTTTAATATTGGAGTTGATGAATATTGTGAGAACATAGTTGGAATATTACAGCGATCTTGTGGTAAACACTAAAGCAGGGATAGGCAAATAGCAGCCCAAAATAATTTTCTCCACAGGGAAAGCTGATGTTTTCCTTTTATAGTTTATCAATCCTTTTAGATCATTTCTCATCAATCTACTGTAGTTAACAGTGTATATACATGGCTTATGTAAATCCGATAACATCTAACAATAGTCAACACTTGGCTTGTCAAACACATATACTTGGCAGTCTAACAGAAATGGCCTGCTGATTAAAAAAAAGAAAAGAGGTTTCTAAGGCAACAACAACATTTACGACACCTCCAGTCAGCCATACAGTAAATGAGGTCAGCCACTGTCAATTTTGAGTCAGTTTATTGCCAAATGAGTGTTAAATGAGCTGCTGTAGCTCTGTTAGCCTTCACAAAATGACACCTGCATTCAAATATGATCCTAAATACAAATAAAATACTTCAAAATAAAATATCTGCAACATACAATAAATATCTGCATCACCACTGCAACTATAAAACTATGTTGGCGTCTCATCGAACAGTGCTGAAAAAACTGGCCTGTGGTTGTACGTAATTGTTGACCCCTGTATGGACTGGGGTTTGCTTTTGCTTTTTTCTCTTCAGTTTATGTGAATACACCTCCTAGCTCAAATAAACACTAGGGACATCTAGATCTATAAGTGTAGACAGCTAAATGAAAAGACTGATTCTTGTATATACACAATGGGCAAAAATATTCTGTTTTCAGACTTTTTTTTAATGCAGCGAAACAAGTTGATATCTCCTTTGTGTCATAGATACTCACAAACATAAAGACAAGCACAAAGACAAGGAACACAGACACAAAGATCACAAGAAAGACAAGGAGCGAGAGAAACTGAAGCACAGCAACAGGTAAGGAAATCTACATTTTCCTTCCTTTCTTTTTTTTTTTTTTTTACAGTACATGTGTTGAGTCTGTCTTAAGCTATTATTTGTGTACTGAAGTTGCCTACAGCCCCTGAAATGATTATTTTTTCAATATTACCTCTTAACATGCACTTATCCTCACAAAGCTTCATTTTTACCAGTATGAATTCTGGTGGTTTTAGCTGTCAAAACTGAATCTTAAACGACAAGGATAATGACACAGATTCTGTCCATTCAGAACATATTAAAAAAGGCAAGCTTTTCCACAGACATGAAAGAATCACAGAGGGTAATGCTCATTTCATTGAAACTGACAGGAACCCTGCCATGTTAAATCAGCAAACATACATCACAATGACTCGCGAAAATGTGCTTTTATGAATGACATCTGCAGCTCATTTGTAATTTGAACCAGAATGGACATTTGCTATGGTTTCTTTTTGTCTGGTTGAAATACTTGTGGGCTGCAGTATATTAGCAAAGTCACGACTTTGGCCATTCCTGCTGGCAGCCGTCCCCGACACTGTCATTATTTGTCAAAAACAGTTACATTTGTATTGCTGGTGGTTGCTGCCTTTTTTTTTTCTTTTTTTTTTTCTGTGTCTCTATGCATCTGGAGCACGTCTGACCTTTTCGCACTTGATCTCTGACCTCTGTGGCTTCTGTGTTCCAGCGAACATAAGGAGCACTCTGAGAAGAAACACAGAGACAAAGACAAAGAGAAGCTGAAGCACAGTGACGGCAGCTCAGACAAGCACAGGGAAAAACACAAAGAGAAAGACAAGGACAAAGAGAGGAGGAGAGAGGAGAAGGTCTGTTCATAGTCAGTCTGTCTTTTATGAAAGGCGGTAGAGGCCTGACATGAAAATATTATGTTTTGTCATCATTAAAGAATAATTATTTTGTTACATTAACATAAAAGCTTTGTTTTCTCATGATCATCATTTTTTTTTGTGGTTTTGATATAACTCTTGTGTTTATTGATGTATCCCAGTGTCTTCCAGAAATTGCAGTCATGAGAAAACAAAACATAAAACTAATAAGTATACAGATGGCAACTCCAGCCCCCCGTGAACTCTGACCATAAGTTAAAGTTTAGACAGTTTAAATACTGTTGAAGTGAATTTTAATTATCCACAGATGGGAAAATCTAATATGTTTTTCCCTGTCTCTCACAGATCAAATCATCCCATGTAGACAGGCCTAAAAAGGAGAAGGAAAACGGACACGTAAGGTAAACAGCATCACTTTGTTGTGTCTGATGTGAAATGAAAGTAATTATAAAGCTGCTCCAGCCATAAATCATTTTGGAAAGAATTAACCGCAGGCTTAGCTATTGCTTCGTTATGATGAATGGGATATTGCTTCACTAATATGCAATTCAATATCTCCAACGTGTGACTTAGAGACACAAGCCCAGCAGCCATAAAGAGCGAGCCTGAAGAAGACAACGGCTTCTACCCCTCTCCCCAACACAACAAGTCCACCAAACGAGAGTATGACAATGAAGAGTGGGTATCGTTCAAATGAATCCAAATCATTTAAGAATTGGTTGTCTATAATTCTGTGTTATGAGACACAATTTGATTATCAATGTACTGTTCTCAGATTTGAATACAAGCCCAAAAAAGTCAAGACAGAACACGACAAAAAGGCAAAGAAGAGGAAACATGAGTACGAAGAAGATGAGGAGGACGAGGTTCATTTTTTGTTTTTGTACATCATTTTGATGAATGTGTTGTCATATTCTCCAGGCTGGAGTATTAGCTCTTTTATGTTCTTCAGATTTATTCTGCTCTCTCCACTTGTTTTAGGACATCAAGCCCAAAAAGAAGACAAAAGACAAAAAGGTAACAGAAGGAAAGAAAGCCAAAAAGGAAGAAGAGGAGAAGTGGAAATGGTAAGAAGATCATTTTGGGGTCAAATTGTTCTTTTCCTCAGGAAATTACACACCAAGAACGGTTAGCTGTTATAAACAGCCACTGAGAAGTAAATACCATATTTTTTCTGTTCTCTCACTGGTTTGTATTCTGTTGTTTTGGTGATTAGGTGGGAGGAGGAAAGATACACTGATGGCTCCAAATGGCGCTTCCTTGAACATAAGGGTCCAGTGTTTGCACCTCCATACGAACCCTTGCCTGACAAAGTCAGATTTTACTACGATGGTGAGTCTGTGTAAAAAATAAGTTGTAACATTTTTTTTTTAAATTATCTTCAGTCAAGACTAAAGTATAATTATCCTGTATTTGTAGGTAAGCCTATGAAACTTAGTGCTCCTGCTGAGGAGGTAGCCACATTTTTTGCCAAGATGTTGGATCATGAGTACACCACTAAGGACATCTTCAGGAAGAACTTCTTCAAGGACTGGAGGAAGGTGAGGAGTGTGTCAATTAGAGCACAAGAGCCACAGTCCACAGATGGTGTCAAGTCCAAGCATTTAAATTAGGCATGCTTCAGATATCTTATCTATCTCTTTTATTGTAGGAAATGACATCAGAGGAGAAGTCAAAGATCACTGACCTGAACAAGTGCAACTTCAGTGATATGAATGAATACTTCAAGGCCCAATCAGAGGCCAGGAAACAGATGTCAAAAGAGGAGAAACAGGTAGACCTGCATTCATGCAGACTCTCCCAGCCCTAAAAACATCTTGCAATCTCTCATTGTACTTTGATATTTCTAAACACTTTGTAGAAAATCAAAGAGGAGAATGAGAGACTCCTCCAGGAGTACGGTTTCTGCATCATGGACAACCACAAGGAGAGGATTGGAAACTTCCGCATTGAGCCGCCGGGCCTCTTCCGAGGACGAGGCGACCATCCGAAGATGGGCATGCTGAAACGCCGCATCAGACCTGAAGACATCATCATTAACTGTAGCAAGTGGGTAATCTCATTCCCGCCATTATCACTAGCCTCACTGCCATGAATTGTCACATTTTTATTTGATTTTAGGGATAGGAAGAACACAAAACCTGTGAATCTCAAGTTCTGTGTTTTCACCACAAGTTGGCCCGGTCAAACCAATACAGGTGATGTTATGTGAAAGAATACTGTGGGTCTGAGGTGTGAATTACATGGGCAAACGTGAACATGTGTGCTTGTGAGAAGAGAATATATTAAGTGGGTGCTTGTGGAAGTTATTAGTATGTCAAAAGGTCACATTCAGACATACAGTCTCTGTCCTGTTCTTCACCATTATCTCCCTGTTGAATCTCTTTTTTTTTTCTTCTTCTTCTTATGTCCCCTTATCTTTTCTTTCATCTTCTAACTGTCATGTTGTAATTGCTGGATTTATTTATAGAGGGAATACTTTTTCTTTTTATCTCTAAGCCTCCAGGGCAAGAGTGTGTGCAAGAGAGTTTATGGAAAGGCTAATTTGTTGTGTTCAGTTGCCATCCCAGGGACGCCGGCGAAAGAATGTACATGCTGCATGTGGCACGTACAGTACGGCAGATGTATCACTGACACGCACTCGCACACATGCCGGCACTGTGTCAAAGGTAGTCTTCCTGTCCTGCCGTGTGTGTGCAAACAATAACACTACTCAGGGAGGACACGTTAACCCCCAACATACTGGTCACAACGGGGTTTGTTTTACAGTGGCATTTCTCTGTACTCTATTGTGTCATAGCTGTAGTGTTTATAATACAGAACTAATCATGGTCTGGTCTAGAGCTGCACAATTAATCGAAACATAATCAAAATCACAATATGGCCAAGTGCAATATCCAAATCGCAGGAGCTGCAATTTTTTTGATAAAGGTAAAATGTGTCACAACATTATTGTGCATTGTTAACACCATAAGCGTTGTGGTGCTTCAGAGACACCGCAGCCTATAAATCATATTCTCCAGACGTAAAGGAAAATGTTTGTTTGGTACAAAACCCAACAAAAATCACATCATCATTTTTATATTGTTTTCAGTGAAAATGAAATGCAAAAAATACCCATTCCAACTGAATTCGCAATATCTGCCAAAATAATCGCAATATGATTTTCTTTTTGCGTATCGAGCAGCCCCAGTCTGGTCCATGGCTTATTGTATCAATGAGAAATGGAGGAATGCACCGTAATCAACACACAGGTAGAAACACAGCATCAGTGGAGTTAGACAGCACACAGAAATGCTCCAAGCTGTGGAAAATGCTTTGCTAAACAAAGGGGGGGAATGGTGTCAACATGTTTCTCATCTATCTAAATCTGCCTCCTGTTTCTGTAGGGACTCCAAGCACCCTAAACCTCCCCCAGGCACAAAATGGAAGGAGGTTCGCCATGATAACAAGGTGACCTGGCTGGCGTCTTGGACAGAGAACATCCAGGGCTCCATCAAGTACATCATGTTGAATCCTAGCTCCAGGATCAAGGTGCCTGCCGTCTCAACACTGAGCCTCCAGCTTCAGTTTTGTATTAATCCTAACCCGTATCGAAGGTTACATATTTTACCAGTTCTCTCATGATGACAAAAAAAAAAAAAAGAGCTGTTTGTGTATGTTTGTGCAGGGGGAGAAGGACTGGCAGAAATATGAGACTGCCCGACGGTTGAAGAAGTGTGTAGATCGCATCCGAAACCAGTATAGAGACGACTGGAAATCAAAAGAGATGAGGATCAGGCAGAGAGCTGTGGCGCTTTATTTCATAGACAAGGTGAGGAAAGTACGGTGAAATTGTAATGATAAAATACTAATACTTATTACAACCACCAATATTTTAACTTAGTTGATGCATGCACCCAAGTTTATAGAATAAATCCCTGAGAAAATGTGTCACCTTTACAACTTGATCATGATCCTAATGTATGGGGTTTCCCTCGTAGCTGGCACTGAGGGCAGGTAATGAAAAGGAGGAAGGCGAGACAGCGGACACAGTCGGCTGTTGCTCGCTGCGGGTGGAGCACATCAAACTGTACCCCAAAATGGATGACCAGGAGTACGTGGTGGAGTTCGACTTCTTGGGAAAAGACTCCATCCGCTACTACAACCGGATCCCTGTGGAGAAGAGGGTAAGAGAGGGAAAAGGAAAAGAGAGGAGAGGAGGTAAAGACAGAGCAGAAGGGAGACAAGAAAACCTGTGGCAGATACATTAAAGCACTGAACTGTGATTTCTGGTTTTATGAGGGTGGTGCTGGGTGTGCATTTGACATTTATGTGAATTTAGTGTTAATGAGATAAGAAGTTGCCAGGCTGAGTAGGATGTTTGCACAGACAGGTGATCAGGCACTAAAACCTTTCCGCCTGCTCTGCCTCAGAGGGTGGTCTGTTTCCTGCTATTACCGGAGTGTACTCACACACACTCACACGCACACACACACACACACACACACACACACACACACACACACACACACACACTAGTTATCTGTTATTTTCAGTCACAAACTCTTCAGCACACCTTTGCACTATCTAATGTACTGCTACACTTCCTCTTCCTCTGCATCCCTACATACATTTAGAAGTGTATACAAAAAAAACCCACAAACCTACAATAAACCACCTGCACTTGTCATCATGAACAGAGATAATATAGCACCCCCATGTGGCAGAAATTTGATAGTGCATACATGAGCACAGTTAACTGAAGTGTTGAATTCATGCTCAGCAAATCTTTGTTGATTTCTTAACAGGTTTTTAAAAACCTTCAGCTGTTTCTGGAGAACAAGCAGCCAGAAGACGACCTCTTCGACAGACTGAATGTGAGAAACACACGTGAAAATCTATCTTTAAATTAATAATCATAATAATTTGTATCTCTGTTCCCCACTGCTTCTCTTTCCTCTGCTTTTCACGCTCTGCTTCTCTGTGTCTCCTGCAGACTTCTATTCTGAATAAACACTTGCAGGAGCTGATGGATGGACTGACAGCCAAGGTCTTTCGTACCTACAACGCTTCCATCACCCTCCAACAGCAGCTCAAGGAACTTACCTGCAGTGAGTGACAGCAGCCACAGCCAGTTACAGCAACAACAACAACAACAACAACAACAACAACAAAGCAGCTCACTAGAATAACAGCCACGTAGTTTCTAAACACAAGTACACATTGAAATCACTCTTTGTGACGTTGCACAATTTTACTGCGATTGTGGAATTCAACAAAAACTCAAGTTTGAAATGTAAAATGTAAAAGATGCGTTGACACATTTTGCCCATTGATTCTTGCAAGAAGTCTTCCTATAAACAAAAATTGCATAGGTCTTAATTGTTAGATCGCATGGTGCATGATGTTTTATAGTCTTTTGAAGCATCAAAGAAAATAATTGGACTTTAAATGTTCGGGAATTGGATCCAACACACGTTGCTGTAAACTCAACAGATGATTACACTGGATGTAATAACAGGAATAACTTTAGGCGGATTGAGGTAACAGTCATATTGTTTATCAACATCAAGAGCAAACAAAACGAACACTTAAAAAAGTAATTAAATCCATTCAATATATCAATGCCTGCAAGGAATTATAAAGTAACACAGTATAGGATTGTGGTTTTATCAGTAATCTGTCTCTTCAGTTGCATATTGCATAAATATGCATGTATATGTGTAACATGTAACAGGTGGCGTCTGTGTTGTGTTTGTTAGCAATGAAGATGCAGTGACACCAGGATCTCTTTGGAGTTTAAATCTGTTTATTCTGACAAGGACAGATAATAAAGCAGAACCTTCATGCAAATAAACCTGCTCGCTCCAGCTCCTCTCTCCCGCAGGACAGCAGTACAAAGGGCCTCGTAATGAAATATTCAACATGGAACATAAACTCATGTACAACAAAACATACCTGACAGGGACAAATAATAAAGCAGAACCACCTTGTAAATAATACTTGGTCCGCTCTAGCTCCAACACAAATGAAATAAATTAAGTGTGAAACAGGAATGTGAGCTTAGTATACAGTATCATAGCGGAGAGGTGAAGGGGCCAAAGTGAATTTATACTGCGGTCCGTAGAAGAAGTGAAGGGGTCTGGGTTTTGAACTTGAAGTATACACATCCTAACTTTGAAAGCCTTCCCAGTCAATTAATATCTATATTTTGACAGATTATGTATAATTACATAAAGAAGAGGTCACTGTATAGATGGTTCAGTTACAAAAATACTATGAATAAAATATGTTCTGCCTTTATATATTAATATGTAGGTCAATGATTTCAAATTTCAATCATTTTAAACTTCTCCTACCTTGTTGTGTCCAGCTGATGACAGCATCCCAGCTAAGATCCTGTCCTACAATCGGGCCAACCGGGCAGTGGCCATCCTCTGTAACCACCAGAGAGCTCCACCTAAAACATTTGAGAAGTCCATGCAAAACCTTCAGACCAAGGTAAACCTCATGTTCCACCTTTCTTCGGTTTTTGCTGTCCCTCCACTAACAATGATGTCTCGGTACTATCTTGGCCGCCTTAAAGTAAAATGTTGCCGATGAAGATGTTCCCTGTCTACATGATGAAGATGTGTGTTTGTTGTGATTGCAGATTGACGAGAAACAGAATCAACTGTCTGCAGCCAGGAAGCAGCTGAAGGCTGCCAAGGCTGATCACAAGGCTTCCCATGATGACAAGAGCAAAAAGTAAGAATGCCTGAGCGCTGCTAACCGGTGCAAGAGACTATCACAGTCTTATCCATTACTTACTGAAACCTCTTCATCTCAGGTGGGATGTAAGGCCACAAAGTTTTATCTGGTTGTCTCCTAAACATTAAGTTCATGATGTTTAGTTTGTCGGTATAATTCTTCCTTCCTCTGTCTCTCCCTTGTCTCTGTGCCTCTGTGCATCTCGATCTTTGTCTCTTTTCTCCTTCCCTCTGTACCTGTACTTATTCCTTCCTCTGTCTGCCTGTGTGTCTCTCTCAGGGCTGTGGAGGTGAAGCGTAAAGCTGTCCAGAGGATAGAGGAGCAGCTGATGAAGCTCCAGGTGCAGGCCACAGACAGAGAGGAGAACAAGCAGATTGCCCTGGGCACCTCCAAGCTCAACTACCTGGATCCACGCATCTCTGTTGCATGGTATGTATGTGTTGCAGCAGATGTTGCTCACTTCTGTTTATTAACCACAAGCTATCGTTTCATTACAGGTGTCACTACAGTAAAAATAACTGACATTAAATGAGCAAACCACCTACTGTTTAATAGGCCAGCTTTCTCTGGGTGGGTGAGAGTGTGTGTGTGTGTGTGTGTGTGTGGGGGGGGGGGGGGGGGTGCATATCTACCTTGGTGACAGAAAGGCAGGAAATGCTCTTGCATTGTAGGAAAAGGAGCAGCACAAGCAAAAAAGCTAACGGCTGCAGAAGGAAAATAAGAGGAAGAAAAGCGTGTGAGTGTGAGGAACAATGGGGTTTGTTTCTAAAAGCCAGGGAGCGTCCCCAAACAGCACTCCTTCCTCCATGTGGGAAGTCAATGAGGAGCTGTCTGTGGCTGAATGGAGGGCCAGGCCTCAGAGACGGGGGAACAGTAGTCCGCCCTCCCTAACCCATGCCCCACAGCTATTTATGGAGAGCCTCCTCCTCAAGCACAATGGATACAGGAATGCTCCATGTTTTGCCTGGTTGTAAGGCGTAAGGGATGGGGTCCCCCCTAATAGGGTGGTGCATGGGAACCTGGTCTACACTGTAGTTGTATGTTTGTGAATATGTGTTACAGAGATGAAAACACTGAGTTGAGTCGGGTTGATTGGTGCCGGGGAGGCGTATTTTTCCGGTCATGCAGAGAGAAACCTTGTCTAATGAATTGGGAGCTTATCAGTTTTTCTGTTTAGTTAGCCTCTAGCTAGCTATACCTATATATTATTCATTATTCCAACCTGAACTGTTTCATCACCACCTTTTTCCGTACCGCGTAGCACTTTCATTCTTGCTATGTATGATTTTGTGGAACAGTAGTCTCTCTTTACTCAGCAGTTGAGTTAACAGTTAGTCGGAATTAGCGTTTAATCCTAAATCAGAACAGGTGTGCCTTAAAATTTGAACCCTTATCACACAGGATTCCTGGCTGTCCTTGGTTTTAAATCTGCAATGTTTGATGCGCATCTTGGTGCATAATACTAGAATATAGCTGCGATGTTCCTGCATTTCAGAGCCAGAGCCGTCACGAGAACTGAAAACATTTTAAGGCCACTGGGCGTCTCAGCCAGAAATGTGACAGAAGTTCAGAATTCACGCCACAAGCCTCTTTCACTGCAGACATTTTGACTTTTTTGGTTTTTACTAATAACATTAACAATGCCCTGTGGTGTCCCAGAACAGCGTAACACAATAGACCTTCCTCACAGCAGACATTTTGGCATGTCATAACAGGAAGAGCAGAGTTGTAATCAATAACTTTAATAAGGGGTGCATTCCATTTAGGTGAGCTATAGTTTGAGGCCCTGGTGTTATGCAAGCTGGCGCCGTGTCACGGCTCACTGGGACAGAAGTGAGCCATCGTTAATGAAATTTGCTTGACCTGTATTTTTCCTGCTGTGACAAGTCAAAATGTATGTTGTGAAAAAGATCAATACCTGGACCTTGTCAAAGGAGTGAATCAAAGTTTCACCATAAATTCAGTATACTGTACATGTGGACTGTCTCTAAAGACACTGGATTATAGCGGATATACCAGTATAGTAATACATAGTGGACTCTTTCACAGTTCAGTATAAAAAGCACTAAACAAACAATGGTCATTAATCAAGTCCCTACAACATTAACACGGTGCACATGAGCTGAATAGTTTTAGATTTTCTGCTGACATCTGACTCACTGTCTAGTCGTCTTCATGGAATTTCCCAGATGTGAATAGTGAGTAGTGGATGCGGCCAGTGAGTGGCTGAGCTCAGTCATTTTTAGCCCTTAAACTGGTCCGTCCTCCCTCCTCTCCAGGTGCAAGAAATGTGACGTTCCCATTGAGAAGATCTACAACAAAACCCAGAGAGAGAAGTTTGCCTGGGCAATTGACATGGCTGAAAAGGACTATGAGTTTTAAACACACATGATGTTTTACCTTTTCTACCCAAGCCTTTGATTGTAAAGATGGTTTGTAGTTGATGTCAAATGATTCCACTGTGTGGTTACTGCAGGGCTGTAAAGGAAGACGCTAAAAACATTGTTAGAGCTGTGACCACAGATAAATAATTGTGCTGTACATATGGATTGATTGTGAATATGGGATAATAACTCCTCAACTATTCGACCAAGCTCCCGAAGGGCATCGCTTTTTAAAAAAAAAAAAATCACAGTAGTGTGTATGTAGCTGCAGGTATCTGCCCATGATCAAACAACTATGAACACATTAGTATTATCTTTTGCCAGACACGACTGTACTGAAATTTGTAAGCCATCAGATTTATTGAGAAATTCTATATTCTCATAGAATAATGAATTAATAAATGTTTGTATGGGGAGACTGTGAGAAACAACATGAGAGAGATAATGATATGATGAAATTCAATTTGTGGAATTTTAGTGTGAAAGATTGGTACAGTAAAATGAGCCTGACAGACTGATGACAGTGTGACGAATAGAAACCCTAGCACTATGCCCATATAACTATTGGCACACAGAATGTCATCTTTTTTTCTTTTTTTTTTGTTTGATTTTGCTGTTTATTTCAGGGATGTACATATTTTTTTGTCATTTCTCAGTGACTATGAATCATGGTTTTTTTTTGTTGTTGTTTTTTTTTTTTTTTTTAATGGGTGCTGTATGCATTGTCAACAAAAAGCTCTTCATTGCTCATATGCAACTTGTGTGTATGTGTGTGTCTGTTTCCACAGTTTTACAGTGAATAAGACGTAACGTTCCTCTCAGTTACTTGAAACAGCTGAAGTACAGCCTAATGTTTTGTGTGTCAGAGCTAAAAGTGACAGACATGTTTTTTTAAGAGGGATGTGGATTTTGCCAAAAAAAAAAATCACAGAAGTCTATCATTGTAGTGTGCTGTTTTTTTGTATTGCTATAATTAAGCAGAAAGTGTCTTCTTTGAATTGATCTCCAAATGTGAATGGATATTCTAACTTTTGTCATTAATATTTCCTGCTATTTGATCATTTCTCACACAACTCCTGATTGGTTGAATACTTATTGTTTTGAGCTTTGTAGTCTTCAGAATAAAACACCAACCCGCCCCCTTTTGTCCTGACTGCTTTTTTTGTGTGTGAAACAGCAGGCTCATTCCCTGAGTATACAACACATTACATAATCCTGTCAGAGGTAATCAGCAGCAATCAGTCAAGTGTGTATCAAATATGTATCGAAAGTAGTTCACTTATCAATTTTAATTTCTGTTTTCACTTACGTACGTCCCTATTTACATAAATAATAAAAGTGAAACGTAGCCTTTTACCCAGTTACATAAGGAGGAGAACAAAACAGCAAGAGATTGTGTTGGTATGTTAATCTGTAATTCAGTGCAGTATTAGTGCAGGGAAAATAATTATTAAGTTACCTGTTCATTGACAAGTTGTGATAAAGGTTATATTGAGGAGGCAGTACAGAATAAGTGGAGTGGCTGCGTCTTTAAGAGGCCGATACAGGCGCTCCTACTGGAGGGATGAGCTGCGTTAAGCGAACGAGAGATATACGAGGTTATACCGGAAGTAGCTTAAATATCTCCAGAATAAATGCATGGAGTTTGCAGTAACATACAGCTCTTCGACGTGGGACTTCAGAACAGACCACATGTAAAGCAAGACTTTTTGAATGAAAGTTGAAGATCATGTAACAAAAGGCAATTCAATTTCAAAGATACCAAAACATTTATCAATAAGTGCCAAGACTAGTCAAATGCACTGATGATGGTTGTTAAGTTGAAGCCTTTCGTTGATGTGCAGCCATTGCTGAGCCATCCCAAGGTACTGCCTTAGAAATCCACACAGAGTTGATACAAACAGTGCTGTGTTGTGAGTTTCATAAATGCATTTATGGCAGAGTACCCACTCATAAATTACTTATATATGAGGGCAACACAAAAATCCCATAACCTAACGTAAGGAGCCAAAAACTTGAAGAAGAGACAAATCATCTCTACATCTCACCGTTTTAACTGTGTACTTCTGGATAGGTTTACATTTGGATACAAGTAAAAGACGCCCTCAGTCAGTGCCTGAATGAATGAAAAGAATGTCAAGCTACTTTACAGCACCAGGTGCATCCTTGGACATTACCTCTGTCCCCAGATGATGCCTTAGCTCAGTTAATGTAAATCATAACCTTTATTTACATGCAAAGTCTAAAAATATAATATGATAGATATTCATCCAGCTGTCATCTTTTTTGAGGCAAGGAATGATGCATTTTTGAATTGGGTTGAAATTCTACAAAAAATGTTTTGAGAGCTACGGGCATGTCACATACATTTTGTAAGTGTTGACACCGAATTTCTTTGACTCTAATGTTATTGACAATACAAATTACTAAAATGTTAAGATAATAATCACCTGAGAGGCAAGAGTTGATGTTACAATATAATCTCTATAACCCTGTCAATTACTCCCCTCTGTCTCGTACAAAACACAGCGCAACAAGTTCTTTGACACGACTTTTATTGTGAAAACCCGCGGCGGATGCCTGGTTTTTGACTCCGGTCTGATGACACTGCTGGTGGTCGGCTTGGGGGGAAGGGCCTGCGCTGGCTGGATCTAAGAGCAGACAAACTTGCGTAGTCTTGCCACGGTTCTCGCTGTCTGCCTGCCTCTCTCTATGGACGGCCGGAGGGGAGAAGAGGAAACTGGGATTTTTATCGTCGGGACCGCAGCGCCTTTCCAGACCCTAGCGATGATTTAATCACGGAAAAGCGGGGCGCGGGGGGAAAAAAAGGAGAAGGAGAAAGACGACGGGAGCGCAAGAGGAGAGAGGAGCAGCCTCAGCCGTTGGAGATGTGCGGTTGGGCCGAGATTGCGGCGGTAGGTACAAGCACAGCAGCCCCTGCGACGTGTTGTTTTCCAGTTGATTTTTCTCCGCACGGTAAAGGCGAAAGAGAGGAGGAAGAAAGCGGCAAAATACCTCCTGCTACCTGGGCTTTTTTTTTCAGAGGTGAAACCAGCCATGATTCTTCTCTTTGGCCCAGCGAAATGCTAGCACACACCGGCCCCGTTTCCACGCTGTGAAAATAGCCAGACGTTTCTTGTTACACTGTTATCCCACTCCGCTGCTATTCGCCACCAGTTGTATTCCCAATAATGTGATTTCTTATGTATCCAAAGGAAACTTTGTTGTCCTCTGCAGCAGGTTACAGGCCTGTTGGTTGTTTTAACAAATCAGTCTAAATCAGACGAAACCTCCCCGCTGCTTCAAAAAAGGCAAAATCATGTTGGAGAGAAAGTTATCTGGTGTGATTGAGCTTAGTCCACACGTTTTCTCCTTGACGGACGTTTTTTAGGTTGCAGCTGACATTTATTTACATCAGTGTTGATGATAAATCACAGTGGTCTTACTGGAGGGTCTTGGCAGGCTTCCATTTGTACACAATACTGAGAGTAACCATAACCATGTAGAAAAATCAATAAGAGCATACATGTTATGAAATGTTTAGATTATATGCTTTGTATGCCAACACACAATTTCCCTGTTTTTCTTTAATTATGACCACTTTTCTACAGATTTAATACAGCATAGCTACGTATTATATAATATATATGCTCTTTTATTACCACATTTATTCTTTACATGAACTTATGCCGTAGCGTTTGTTTTATATGTACCGTCATGTATAAAACATTAAATAAGTTCATATTTATGTAAAACCAAGTACACTGACCTTAAATGTTCATATACTAAGCAAATTGTAAATTATGAAATATATAGTGTAATTATTTTTTATAGGTGTCCTTCATAACAATATTTTATCTCTTGTGGCAGCATTGCTTTTGTCATATCTTACTGCTGTTTTGTTATTTTTGTTGTAAGGATTTTGTGTAAATAATTTCATAACTTGACATATTTCAAGCTTTTAGAAAATACTCATACTACAAGTTCACTTTTCACCTATATTTCAAAATATAGGTATGAGTATTTTTATCAAAATAAACATTGTTTGTTTAAAATGTTTACACATGAGGATCAGAGTAATTGTAAAATAATTTGGATGCTCGTACACATTTGACAGCATTTCTGCACGTACATAAACATGTACAGTACATGTATGGTAAGGATTCCAGTATTATTTAAAACATGTGTCAACTCTTCACTGCGGTATAATGTGTGTACAGCACAGACACACTAGAAGTCCCTGGGGAATTGTTGTTTCATGGGTTTCCCCCTCTCTTCTCCTGCTGTAGGTATCCCTGTCTAGGCCTGGACTGAGCAGATTGTTCTGAGAGGAAGCGGATAACAAACAGGGGAAGTGAACATGGCAGGGACCTCAGGCTTCTTTTCCAACGGACCTGTTCCGTGGATGGACAACGACACAGAGATGAACAACCTGTACCGAGACCTGGAGCTGGGGACAGTACTGACACTGTTTTATTCAAAGAAGTCCCAGCGGCCAGAGAGAAGGACATTTCAAGTCAAGCTGGAGACCAGGACTATTATCTGGACTCGCGGCACGGATAAAATAGAGGGAGAGAGTGAGTAGCATGCGAACACAAACCCAAAACATACACACTGACATGTAGTGATGCTCTTGAGTACTGGTTGTGGCACAATGGTATTCATGCTAGAACTGGTTGGTTTACATGCATTCAGAAATATGACAACTGTAAAGTATTGTGAGGTGCTCACAAAAGACTTGGTGCACGCACATGAAATGATGACAAGATGGTATCGTAAACAGCTGGAGAATGATGTCAGTCACTTCCAAAATCTTTTGGATCCTACAAAAGTTCAAGTCATATCACTATGTTATTGATTAATGCAGTAATATTGGTAATGCAACAGTATTTAGGGGCACTCTTGGTGTTTCTAGAATATATTACCATGCAAGAAAATTTAGAGAAACAAGGATTATTAATGTGCAAATGAAAGTGAAACAGGTAGAGGCAATCATTGTTCATTTTACTCAGAGAAAACAGCCTAATAACAATATAACAGTTTTTGTTACCTAACTCTGATGCAGCCTCCAAGACCAGACAAATACAACATTCAAGCTATATAACAATATGAAAAAAATACCAGTTGTGCCTCCTATTCAATATCAATATTACATATTTTATTTCAGCTCTGATTGGTGTATTGTTTGCCATTTAGAGTACCTAAAAGTCCAATTCTTAGTTTTTATTTTGTACCATTAATATAATGTTTTGAAAGAACAGGTGCAGATATTAGAGGAACAACCGGTGTTGTCCAGAAACAGATAAATCACATCTCAGGTACAAATCCAGGGTAAACAAAAAGAAGAAGAAATAACACTTCCTGGAACACTTTAGTTGCATTAATAGGAATATACTGTAATTTACCAGGAAGCTGACGTTCAGGTTAATCTTTAACAAAACAGCGTGTCTAACTGAGGATACGCAGGGCTTCAGTGAGTCGTTAAGTTGTCTGTCTCGTGGGTAGCAGGATGCCTTGTGCACAGCTGCACTCTGCTCCGGATGCAGCAAAAAGAGCACACACACACACAGAAAAAAAAAACACAGAAGGCTTAGTTCTTTTTGTTGTTTTTTTTTTTGTTTGTTTTTTTTTTTTTTTTTTTTTAACACAACAGTATCATCTTCTCTGTTTCATGCACTTATGAGCTCATAGCTGCAATTTGATACTCTTGGAGATGTGAAATTGGCCTAGGCGGCTCATTAACGTACAGGAATAGAATATGAGGGGTTTTACTGGAAGTGTGTGATCATTTGGGAACGATTTGGCCGGCTGTATTTACCCCCTTATCAATGGCAGTGAGAGAATGATGTCCATTAACTGTGAAATCAGCACTTTAGTTTTTAGCTAAATATAAAGTGCTGAGAAGCGTAACTGTTTGTCCCTTGATCAAAGTGTTTTTTGTTTTTTTGTTTTTTTTTTTACACAAATTTTCCTCTCAGATTGATTATTTCTCTGTTTTTTTGGTGGTGTCATTGTATTTCTAGAAAGATGCTTGTTTCATGCACACAAGGTTGTGCCAGCAAAGTAACTGGCAGCAGATATACAGTGGGGTCTAAAACTCTGAGACCACTTTCGCAGTCACTTGAACGGGAAAGTGGTCTCAGACTTTTGGACCCTGTTGTGTATATCAATCACAGTATGATGCAATAAATGTAGGGCTGTCAAGATAGATAATAAAGTCAACTATCTAGGCAAAGCAGGATGTGGTTTCTCAGAGCAATAGGCGGTAAGAGACTGGTTAGAAGTACTGTATAACCAGGGGACATTATAAATGTAAAGGTCTTATATCTGACATATACAATCCCAGTCTTTTTAAATGAAACCCTGTTGAGAACGTCTGGTTTCTGAGTGTAACTGAGTTCAACATGAATCTTACTCATGTTTGAGTGTGACACGTCATTTTGCCACTTTTATCATCCCGAAAGAGCAACTCCGATGTCAAAGTGAGTAATTTGATGCACAAACTCTGAATGAGTCAATTCTAGATTTTTATGAATGATCCTCCAAATTTGTTCTCACACTCTTGAGAAATGATTTGGTAACATGGTAGAGGAACCTCCCATCTCAGGTGATGCCCACCACAGCGTCAGATCCTCTCATATTTACTAGCGTTGCTCAGGAAGGGGGCTTTAGTTTTTTCATGTTGCAGAAAGACTGTAGGAGCGGAGTTCTGAGTATGACATCATATACCATGAGACTGATCTCTGGCCATTGTTGGCAATGTTGCAAATCAATGAACAGGACTGCTTTACACTGTTATGGGTGTTCACGATGGGTGTTCAAGATACCCCTAGCAAAAAAACGAATGCAGTTTAATACAGCGGTCCTGCAATAAATCCTACCTTCATGAAGGTTATAATGTTCACTGTGTGGTGAAGGTGTTTAAGAGAGATGCTGAATCAGCTTTATGGGCATTTTGCAGGTGGCAGTTTGTGGTGCTGTTGAATTGTACTGCGTTAAAAGGGACAGATGTTTCTATTATTTTGTCCACCCCCGCTTAAGCCAGTGAGGGTAGGCTCGATAACAGAAACACCTCTCTGTATAAAGTAATACAGCTCAACATATTCATCATGAGTCTGAATATGGGTCTGTGTTGAGGGATCCACAAGGCTTCTCTGACGACCAGGTAGCCGGTGCTCGGTCAGCTGCCTCTGTCCCGCTCACGCTCAGCTTTCCCCACAGGACTAACTGAACCAGTTAGTTAACACGCAGGACTGTGACACCAGATTAACTTTGACAGACAGGATTCCACATTTTTCACACTTCATTACTTAATGATGGCGTGCCACAACTACTGCAGAATTGATGACGCAGTGGGACAAAGAGCGTAGTAATACTTACTCCCAATAGTTGATCGTTTTGATTATTTATGGCTTCACTGTTATTATTTGAATCCTACAACTGAAACAGTCAGTCAGTTACATGATTAGGCGATCAACAGAAAAATAATGAGCGATTAAGTCGTTTACGCCATTTTAGTTTTAGTAGTTATTGATTCTCAGTTGTGAGTATTTACTGCTTTTCTCTGTTTCACATAATTGTACATAAACTGGATATTTTGGCTTCGGATTGCTGGTTGGACAAAACAAGACATTTGAAGATGTCGCATTGGAAACTGGAATGGACATTTTGCCCTGTTGCCTCACATGTAAAAAAAAAAACTAAATGATTAACTGGGACAATACTCAGTAGATTAATGTATATTGAACATAACATAGCTGTAGCCCTTACTGTCCTTTGTCACGGAGGAATGTGAGATGTATTCAAGAGAGGGTTTTGGGAAACTGTGTGTTGTACATCATCTGTATCTCAGTGGAGTGTGAATGAGCAAGTGTCACCGGTCTGACCTGTGTTTAAAACCATGTGACGTAAATGTCGTCACCAGCTACATCCTGGAAATTTCTTTGGAACGGAACCTTGTAAATAATGAAGAAATTGTCCAGTAGACTTTGTTGACTTTTCAGTAATGTAAATGTGGCTGGAAGAACCTGTGGAAATTGTCATCACTCTGACCTGCTTTTTTCCATATGTTCCGCAAAGGACACACGTGCTTTGTCGCCACAGACGTCTGATGTCATTTCAAGGTGACACACCGCTCCTTTTCTCTGTACACACTTGGCCGTCAACCCGGCTTATTTCTATAAAACATATCGACAGATTAGTTGGACGTTTACCCGCAGGCAGCAACAGGGTTGCGCAATCAGCATCTACCTTTAGATTGTTTATGTCTATATGACAACATTATAGTAAAGACCAGGTTGTCACTGGAAAACAATCACAGTTAGACTCGCTCCATTTACACTGTGTTAAAACAGGGAACAGAACCCATCTAGCTGCATGAAAGTTACTCGTCGGGGGGGTAGGAAGTCCTCCGCATCACTTTATCCGATGTGATATCAAAGGAGCTGATACGATCAGCTGACGTCGAAGTGCACGCTGAAACACTGTAATGCTGTGGGCTGTCACTCGACAATTTGAAAATTGTTATATGAACTACTGCAACTAATAGAGTTTTATGTTCAAAATATACAGCATAGCTTTTTATTTATTCTTTGGTCAACGTGTGAAATATCAGACACGTCTGTATGTTTTATAATGTAATTACGGCTGAAACAAACCATTGACTAATCTTTTCTCAATTGGCTTCTTGCTCATTTCCAATAGCCCAGATGATGCACATGTATTTTCACTCCCAAGACAAAGATAGTCAGTTTGTAACCAGATATGACAAAGAAAAGTAGCATTTGAACGGCATTAACCAGCAAATGTTTTGAATTAATGGTTGAAAAATGAGGATTAATCAATTATCAAAATAGTTCTCGAATAATTTTCTGTCAGTAGATGCTATTTGTATCACAGTTACAGCAAAATAATAGCATATGATTACTTGTCAATATTGTGCAGTTGTAATTTTCCTTTCTCTGCAACACATAACACTGTTGTTGTAATGTATTGAACGAACTGAAGATGTGATGAGGGATTTTGAATTTATCTGAGTGAGAAATGGGGCAGCGTATCGATCAAAACTCTTTTTTTTTTTTTTTTTTTTTTTTTTTTTTTATTTTTTTTTTTTTTTTTGTCTGTACTTTCAAACTGTCACTTACCAAAGTTTGTATCAAATACCTGGTCAGATGTAGTCTTTACTTATTCTTTGATCAGATAGTTAGTGCAAATGTATAAACAGCTGCAACTAACTAATTGTTTTCACTATCAGTAAACCTTGATTATTCTTTGATTAATTAATTGTTTAATCGGTAAAATGCCATGGTGAAAAGGGTAAAAAAAAGAACAACCTCCATCACAGTTTCCTAAAGCACAAAGTGTTTTTTTTTTTGTTTTTTTTTTAAACTTTATTTTTTTGAAGTCATTTTTCAGTATACTTAGAAAGAGAGAAAGAAAGGAAAAGAACAAGAAAAGGAACAAGAAAGAAAAGGCACAGATGGAAAAATATACACACGCATATATATTATTACATAGGGAGAGAAGAATCATAGTAACAATGTGTACATTTCAAGAGGTAGGTCCAGGGTTTAGAGATATTTCAGTCAGCACAAGGTGGTTTGTTCACATTATTTATTTTCTCTGAAGCCTAAAAGTTTTCAATTTTGATGTCAGTTAGATTGATATATCACAGAGAGAAGCAGAAAATCTTCACATTTCAGAACCAGCAAATATTCTGTTTTTCTTGATTTAAAAGATTTAACAAAATTGTTACCGAATAATCCACTAATTGTTTCAGCACTAGACTCCGTCCTACCTCAAACAAGGGTGTCATATTTGGTTCTGAAACTCAGGTATGTTATTGGCAATGGTTTTTTTCACAATTCCAAATAAAACCAGCCCGTGTGAGGAGTGGTAGAAATGGTGTGGAAGGCAGGACGGAGCACTGGAGGAAGTGTGGGGGTGTGCTGCAGGATACCTCCTCTCATCTCCGTTGGTAAGGTTACACCTCTGGCTATCTCTTTATTTCCTGCATCTGTCTGAGGCGGGCTCTAAATATTTTGATTCAAATGACTAAAAGTGTTTTGTAACAGATCAGCCTGTCATAGCTGCCTTGCTCTCAACGGAAGTCTGCTGGCCCGTATAGCGGGAGAGTAAACTGAGATATGATGTATGATTAGAGAGCTCAGCTTGGTGGATTTCTGCACAAGAAGACATACTTTTTTCTTTTTCTTTTTTTTTTGACTTTTTGAACATGCACATTCTCACCTATGCGCAAGCACAGATGTGGTGTGTAGGCGACAAAAGCACAGGATGTGTGATTCGGGTGCAGGAAGAGGAGCAGGAGCTGAAAGAAGTGTGTGTGTGTGTGTGTGTGTGTGTGTGTGTGTGTGTGTGTGTGTGTGTGTGTTTGTGTGTGTGTGTGTGTGTGTGTGTGTGTGTGTGTGTGTGTGTGTGTTCAGCAGGAGAGTCATGGCTGTAGGTCTTTTAAATACTGCTAATGTAGTGCTGATAGGAACCTGCTGAGCTACTTTACAGCCTACACTCTCATGAAGTTTCTGACCCCTTCTAACATTTTCTAATTGCTCATTAATGGAGTCAAGACAAAACTGTATCAGCTCTTTTTTCCAGTATCCTCCTTAAAGATACATGATGAAGCAATCTTTGTGGTGCTTTTTTTTTTAAAAGTCCAGTGTAGGGAAAATTAGATATACAATAGTTTCTAGATATGAGCCAGTGTTGTTAAATGGCATATCAGTGTTATTATGAACTTTGCACTGTAAATTATTAAAACCACAAGCACCCCTAAAAGTCACACACATGCCTGGTTCACAAACTGGTTTGTGCGACTTGCTCAACATGTCTCAGGTTAGTAAATGGTGGTTTTGGTTGATTTCAGTGGTGGGGGGGAAACCAAGGTTAATTTGGGGTCAATAACTTCATCATCTTCTTCCTATAGAATCAATAACTAACTATCTGTCTACTGTGAGTCTTTTATTTGAAGTGTACCTATATGTGGTTCAGCTCATGTCTTCTGTTTTGCTGTTTTATGTGGTCAGGGGCCTGAAATTCATTCATGCTGCATGCTGGTCTCTGTGATGGAAGGTTATTGTTAGAAACTGATATATGAATGAATGAAAGTGTGAAACACTTAGGACTTGGGTTTGAAGCTCATCCAAGATCATTATTTATGGAGTTTGAGATGTTACATGAAGACGTGATCACATTGGTGTTATCTCACAAGTTATTGATGATGTTGATCAGTTTTTTATTAAAGCTTTATTTATTCAGGTTAATCCCATTGAGATAGAAATCTCATTTTCAAGAGAGACCTGGATGTACATAAAAAAAAAAACTTCTTGTTTCTAAAAAGTGTATAACTTATAGATATCTCAATTTTTAAAGTGCTCCGTAGCTTATTCCATGTATCTAGGGCATTGACTCCATATGCAGCCTTCGCAAAGTTTACCTCAGGCATATGGAGTGTTAGCCGATCGTGTGACCGAGTTTGGGGCGCATCAACTGATCTGCCCAAGAGAGATGTAATATACAATGATTAACCCCCCCCCCCCCACTAAGGGCTTTGTAAATGAATAGGAATGTCATGTCTTTCTGATAGAGAGGACCAACCAACCTTCTTGTATAGGGTGCATTGATGGGGACCATAAACATCACCAGTAATAAAAACGCAGGGCAGGATGGTACACTGAATCCAGGGGTTTGAGGATAGAAGGAACTGCTTGTCTATAAATCACATCATCATAAAGTTTTATCTGGTATAAAGCGTAATTGTTCAATATCAACGTGATAATGATTAATGTGCCCTTGTAAAAGGTGCAGATTATTAAGTATTCTTGCTCAACCTTTTGCACATGTGGACCTAAAAAAACATAGATAAGTCATGTTTTAGTGGTTTGGCATTTGCCAAAGAAAATAAATTTGTGGTCCACAGTTTTATGTACCCAGGAAATATGTTTACATTTTAACTTATATTGTGCACCCGATTTTATATTCAAGGAAACATCTGTTAAATGTAGATAAAAATGTTATTTCCCAGGATAAATTCTGAGAAGGGCTGTACGCAACATTTGCTTTTAGCTGATGTGATCGAATCATCCAGATTTGAATGAAATCAAAATGAATGGATTCTGGCTTTGTTAAACCGAAATTGAATTGAATCCGGAGATCAGTGCTGATGCCGCTCAAAAGTAATCACAATGATGAACATCATTTTTATCATTATGATGATTTTGATTTCGTCCATATGGTTCTCTGCTTTGCTAACTGTTGTAATGTTTTGTCTGTCTTTTCCCAGTCGACATTCGAGAGATCAAGGAGATCCGTCCTGGACAGAAGTCCCGGGACTTTGAGCGCTATGTGGAGGACTCGGCAGCGCGGCTGGACCAGGCTCACTGCTTTGTCATCCTGTATGGCACAGAGTTTCGCCTTAAATCACTCAGCCTTGCAGGTACGTACAGACACGGAGAGAGGCTTACATACATTCAGATACAAGTAGCGCATTAGCATTTTACCTTACCATCATAGGCCCTGTTCGGACCTGGTATTAACATGCTTCAGTCTTCAGTGATCTGATCACAAGTGCTCAGCTATAAGTACTTCAGTTCACACCTGTCTTTGAAATGCGTCTCCACATGCGTCTTGATTGACTCACTTGTGATCAGATCTCACTTCACCGCATTAGATGCATGCATATTTATATGTGAACAAGAATACTTCTTCCAGTAAGTTCATTAACTATGAACCTCCTCCAGTCAACCATTAGTACGACAGATGTTCACATTTATTTTTTTGTATTGCTTTTTGTGTATGTGAATAAATATATCCTGTACTCAAGTCAGATTTCTTTTGTTTTATAAGATCACAGATGACAAGTTTGCCTAGAATAGCTTTACAATCTGCACAGTATACGACAACCTCTGTACTTAGACCCTTGTTTTGTGCAAGTAACGTACCCCCCCAAAAATCCTTGGGGGAACCGTTTGGAAAATCATCAAAAGTGAATCATGTGATGCTTTTTCCTCAGCTACGTCTGATGAGGAGATGACCATGTGGGTGAAGGGGTTAAACTGGCTTGTGGCCGACACGCTGAAGTCACCGACGCCGCTTCAGATAGAGAGGTAAACAACGCCAATGTAAATACACACCCCATCCAAAGCTCAGGTTTTTGACAGCTGATGAAAACAGACGGCATTGTTACTTAACAGAATTTATGTTCGCATTAAATCGCTTAAATGCCCCTTTCTCTCTTCTCTTTTTTTTGTTTAGGTGGTTACGCAAGCAGTTCTACGCGGTTGATCGTAACAGAGAAGACAGGTAAGTCAGCTCGGTTAAAAGATGAAAACTGCAGAGGTAATCAGATCACCCGCACGGGAAATTGGTGTCATTAGGTGTAACTCAATTGTTTGGTGCACCAGTTGTGTGCCCTTTCCCCAGTGTAGCATCTAGGGCAAGTAGAAAATCAGGCTGGTAGGTGTCTGCGAAAGAGCTCTTGTTGAGGTGTAGTGAAGGAACTAAGCTCTCAGCCACACACCAGCACCTCTTCCTGCTGCAGGAAACAGACTGCAGAGGATGGAGGAGATGTACAGAGATGTTTGTCTGTTACATCCCTGACGAAAGCGCGAGCCTTTGTCACGCTGTTAGGGTATTGTCTCCTCGGGGCCAAAATTCCAGGCTGTGTAGTAAAAGTGAAGCCAGAAAAACACGAGCACGAGGGGCGTGCGTTTTGCAAGTTTTTAAGTGTGTCTACGTGTGAATGTTGGTAGAAGTCTTTGTGCTCGTTGTACGTGCATGTCCATGTTTGTCTTTGATTTTGCAACAAAACGTGTGTATGTGTTTAGGATATCCTGTAAGGATCTGAAGAGCATGCTGAGCCAGGTCAACTACAGGGTGCCCAACATGAGGTTCCTCCGAGAGAAACTTCCGGTAACCACCTCCTACTTTATCGCAAACCCCCTTCCACTCCCATCTTTCTGCCCACTTCCCCTTTCAGTGTGATGTTGTTCGAAGCTAAAGATTTATTATCTGCCGTTAACAGCCATTGTGCTGCTTGTTTTATAGGAGTCAGAGCTGAGGAATGGAGATGTGTCCTTCAGTCAGTTTGCCCAGCTCTATCGCAGCCTCATGTTTGACGCTCAGAAAAACGTAAGTGCAGTCTTTTGTTCGGCATCCAAAGATAGTTCTGGCCCAGCACTTTCATCCCCAAGCTCCCCATCTGATGCCCTGCCAAGGTACCCTTCCTCCCCCATCTGTCTGCTCTCAAATGGCTGTGAGATCAATATGGACCAGTTAAAAACCCACCAAACCCCTCTGGTGGAGGCCATTAGGACACAAACACACACACGCACACACACACACACAAACACACAGATGAGATGCAGGCAGGGAGGCTGAGGTCAGATTAAATGGATGACCTCATTGCCCCCCCACCACTAAGCACCCAGCCCCCTACAGGATGTCTATGTCCATCTACATTACGACACAGTGAAAGAACTGCACTTTGATTAATTAACTGAAATTTTCCTTTTGGACCAATTTTTCAGATGGAGATCCCGTTTCTACAAAGGTAGGTCAAAACTAAACCCCATACACACACAGTGAATCTTTTGTGCAGCGTCACGGGTGTGTGTTTACTGAAGCGAACCATTACTTTCTCTGCCAGGTTCATTGACAGACCAGAACCGAGGATCTCCCTAGAGGACTTCAAGAGCTTCCTCCTGGAGTCTCAAATGGTAATCTCTCTGTAATCTCTGTAATCTCTCTCTTAACATTTATTTTATTGCTGATTTGCATGCTCCAATACGTCCGTGTTTATATGTGAATCCAGGAAATGTGGGCTACAGACGACAACAAGGTTCAGGAGTTTATGTTCGGCTACCTGAAGGACCCCCTGAGAGAAGTGGAGCAGCCTTATTTCCATGCAGACGAGGTACGCACACTCTCACCGCCTATCACTCTTTCTTTTCCACATCTTTTTCTCACTTCTTTTCTTGCTCTTTTTTGGCTCTTTGCTTACTAATGGAAAATTTAAACATGTTTTTCGCCAGATATCTTTTCTTACGCACCCCCCGTGTTGTTGGTGTGGGTGGAAGAAGAAGATGCTCAGAAATTGACATGGATAGCCATGATCTCAGCCTAAAGCACCCTCCTCCCACACAGATAGAAAAGGTTATTGACATGTGGCGCGGTGTGAGAGTTTTGCAGAAAGCGAGGGATGCTTTTTGTGGTCACCATAAAGCTATGAATGACTACTGAAAAGAGGAAGCTGGTGCGAGCCAGCCTGCAGGGGTTGGTACTGTCTTTCTGCGCCTGCGGTTATACTATGTTAAATAGCGGGTGTAGAGTGCTGAGAATAACACCTGAAGAAGAAAAATTGGTAATAAGAAAGATTATTTTTGTTGACCCGTACTGGGAAGTCTGTTAAAGGCGAGGGTGCTGATAGGACAGCAAATACCACCACAACTGTTTTGGTACGGACTGAATCCAAATGTTCACCCTCTGGACTCGCAGACTGCCACCCTGCAGACTTCTGTCCGGGGCCCTGTTCAGACCTGGTAGTAACATCTGTCTCAGGTGATCCAATCACAAGCGGACATCTCTAAGTTCAGGTGTGAACGCAATCCAAGACGCATTGAGGACGCATTTGAAATCCTGATCCCTCAGACCACATTCAGAGGTTTGTCTGGGCCACATTTGTCCACATTCTTTTAGCAGTGTGAACGCAAATCCGTCCTGGGCCACATTGAAGGACCGCCTACTCCACTGACATCTTCTGTCTCAGTCTTATTACTCCCACGGCAGTTTCATAATGAACCGAAAATATTTTACTATTTCAAACGGATAAAACTTTTATTTTACTGTAAGAGCTTTGCACAGCGCATTAATTCACTCAACCCCTCCGCGCCCTGCTCGCTTTCTCTCTCTCTCTCTCTCTCTCTCTCTCTCTCACCATTTCTCATTCACTCACCCACACACACACATACACACATGTAAAAAAAAAAAACAATGCATACCTGTTTATTTGAATATAAAACGGAGAAGTGAGATGGAGTCACAAGTTGTCAATCGAGACGCATGCGGAGACGCATTTTAACGTCACGTGTGAACTGACGAACTCTGATTTCTTGTGATGGGATCACTGAGGACGCATATGAATACCAGCTGTGAACAGGGCCATGTATACTATGACTTATCTGAAGTGTTCAATCATATAGTAGTTGATATGCACAGTAACGTACCAGTTTTACTTGAGCATTAACTCCTGTCTAACTCTGCAGATTATAAAAAATAAATCCAAAGTGTTAAGCCTCTGCACATTCTGTGTGTGCTTGTGTGTGTGTGAAAAATCAGATCTGATTCTTTACTAAAGTGTGAGTGACTGAGGTCATTGCACTGCACAGTGTCAACTTGCACTGTGTCCGCTTGTTAATATATGTGTGCACTACCCAAGCATTTACAAATGTTATGTACTATTTAGCAAATGTTTACAGTTTGAAATGTAGGATGTAAGTTAAGTCTGGGATTTGATTGCACATTCACTGAGCTTTTGCCTCTTTAAGTTTTGAGAGAACAGTACTTATAAGAGACGCTTCATCACTCGTAAATATGGCACAAAATGATTTATTTCGAATAATTTTGGTGCAGACACAGACTCAACATCCTTGTGGTCCAAGGCTGGATCAGATCCTGGCAGTGTGCCCTGCAGGAGCGCTTCTGATCCTGCCCAAGTGTACAAACTACGTGTTAAAGTTGTACTCGGTGATGCTCTCTGCTTCCTGGTTGCTTTGGATCAGTGAGCCACCAGGTCTGAAATGCTTTGGGGTGCTTGGTCCCTGTTAAACTTGTTTGCAACTCTAGTTGTATTGTTATTATTACCTCTTACGTCGTCACATCGATCATATATTGCAATGAATTAGGGGTAGTCTTTAGAATGAAGTCAGTGCACTCCAAGTGGACTCTGTGGAAGTCCAAAGAAAGTTGCCTTGAGGCTTCTGCAGACTTGATAAATTGTGGATTTGGACAGCCCCTGTCACTCTGAGACTTCCTCAGGTACACATCAGTGAAGTCTGTGAGCAGGGGCAATGCCTACGTGTGAATTCAGCCTCATTCTCACTGCTCTCCTCTCTCCTGTGTAGTTCCTGACATACCTGTTCTCCAAAGAGAACACCATCTGGGATTCTTCCCTGGACCAAGTTTGTCCTGAGAATATGAACAACCCCCTGTCCCACTACTGGATCTCCTCTTCGCACAACACGTAAGGAACGGCGAGATGGAGGACATTTATGCTCACATTTAGTTCAGCCAATTGTAATTACAGCCTGGGAACACTGAAGTCTGGCATCCTCTCTCTGAAACTTCGAACCAAAGAGGGCTTTTGAACTGACTTCATACATCAGATAAAAGTGTATTATTTAACAATTATGTCCCAGAATGAGATCCAGGCGTGTATTTTGCAGGAAAATGTATTTTTCCTGCCATTGAAAAGCGTGTGAAAGGCAGTTCAAATGATAACCTTCTGTACTAGCTGGGAAACAATACACACTGGAGCAGTGGAATGAAAACTACCATGTAGCTTTGATTATGTTTGAATTGACCAACTGAATGAGTAAGAAGTGTTGACTCCAGTCAACAAAAGGGAAGGAGCCCTTTTGATTTAGCAGTATCAATGTGTTTAGGCTACTACCATACAAAGTGTGTGTTTGTGGTACAGTCCCTGACGTGTGACTCCTTTGACAGACTGGTTAGATGTTTGTTTTTGTTTGCGTACTTTGACGTTACTCGCTTATTTTTAGCTACCTGACGGGAGACCAGTTTTCCAGTGAGTCGTCCCTGGAGGCGTACGCTCGCTGTCTGAGGATGGGCTGCCGCTGTATTGAATGTGGGTAAACACACACACAAACACACACACACACACACACACACACACACACACACACACACACACACACTAGAGTTTTACTACACGTACAGTAAATCACTTGTCACTTGACTTCCAACCTAATAATTAACTGTCTTACCCCTCCTCCTTACAGTTCACCCTTTAATACAGCTGCCACACCCTCACCCACGCTCACACACAGACTGTTACGTAACAGTGCTGTAGATTACCTTCCCAACAAACCCTTGTCAAGCAGGTTTTTTTTTTTTGTTATTTTTAATAGGACCAGCTTGTAGTGACTTGAAGGGTCACTTCGCTTCATAGAAAAGCAAACAAAAATGACATAAACGTCTGTGTAACTCTGTAATACATGTGCCTTCATGTACATATACTAGAGGAAGTTACATCGCGTGCATCGTGTATGTGTGTTTATTTTCAGTGGACTGCTGGGATGGTCCTGATGGAATGCCAGTCATCTACCACGGACACACCCTCACAACAAAAATCAAGTTTTCTGATGTGCTGACCACCATCAAAGAGCACGCCTTTGTCACATCCGAGTGAGTCTACATGCCACCCACTCTGTGTATTTTTACAGCAGGCAGTGGTGATGAGATGGTGAAAGGATAAGAGATGACGAGGATAAAGGGGATAGGACACACACACGCACGCACACGCAGAAATATCAGAGGAAACAATGTGGTCAGGCTGCAGTGACATCACTCGTCATTGTAGAGTGTGAGAAAATAAGATAAGCGCAGATAAGGAGGGGATTTCTATGAAGTCACAACTCTGTATCTGTATCTGTGGTCCTCCCCTCAGCTACCCCATCATCCTGTCCATTGAGGACCACTGTAGTATTGTGCAGCAGAGGAATATGGCCACTCACTTTAAGAAGGTGTTCGGAGACATGCTGCTGACCAAGGCGGTGGATATTGTGGCAGATGGACTGCCCTCACCCAACCAGCTCAAGAGGAAAATCCTCATCAAGGTCAGGAGCTACCTGGAGTCATGAGAAATGATGATATATATATATATATATATATAAATTATATTCATCTACAGGAAAAAAGCATGACTTGATGTTTTGTATCCAGTATTTCTGATTGTATGTTCCCTTCTTCCTCCTCTGCCTTCATCCCCTGCAGCATAAGAAGCTTGCAGAGGGCAGTGCCTATGAGGAGGTGTCCACATCCACTCCCTACTCGGAGAACGATATCAGCAACTCCATCAAAAACGGCATCTTGTACCTGGAAGACCCCATTAACCATGTAAGCATGTTGACTGGGTATAAGAGGAGTCCTGACGCTGCTTGACGAACAATGATAAGCTTGAAATCCTCCTTTGCAAAGAAGTAGCTTCTGTTTTGAGTCGTGTGTTGTTTTATGTTCCGAAGTATTATTGCTTTTAGCTGTAATAAATCAAAGCCTCATCATCATCATCATCATCATCATCTTGCAGCTGACCACTCTTTTCTGATTAACATCTATTTCATAACTGGGTTGTGCTCATTCTTGGAGCCAGGCCTCGATTTTGTTTTTCTTGGTGTGTTGAATTCTTTGTAAAAAAAAAAAAAAAAAAAAAAAAAAAAAGAAAAGAAAAGGCATGTCTTGCTTACTTTGGCCACTTTGACTCTTTTGAACTGTTTTTCTTCCTTCATCTTTGCTCTCTTCATCCAGGAGTGGTACCCTCATTTCTTTGTCCTGACCAGTAGTAAGATCTACTACTCAGAAGAGACCTCTAATAACCAGGGTAACGATGACGAGGAGGAGCACAGAGAGGTTAGTAGAAGTACTCTAGCAACACTGTATAAGGATTGGAGGTCATTTTAGTTTTGAGTGCTCACATGGCTTTAGGCTTCTGCTAAAATTCATCAAGAGATGAAATTTTTACAAAAATCGATGGGGCCTGAGCATTTTCTGCTTGCACTGTATATCATGATGGTCTTTTCACTTGGTTTTTCTCTGCACATGAGCTCTGAGCTGAATAGCATCTCCCTCTGTTTTCTAACCTCACAGGTGTCCAATGGCATGGACCAGCACGTGACAGAGAAATGGTTCCACGGGAAGCTGGGCGCAGGGCGGGACGGGCGGCAGATAGCCGAGAGGCTGCTGTCTGAGTACTGCCTGGAAACCGGAGCTCCTGATGGCTCCTTCCTGGTCCGAGAGAGCGAGACGTTTGTTGGAGACTACACTCTGTCATTCTGGTATAGTGCACGCACTTTCGCATTCGTAATTGCTGCACACTTTACAAAGACTCTTAACTGCATTTGTTTTGGCAGCTATGGGCTGTAGATAGCACAGGACTATATAGACAAAACTACTGTTAATAATAGGAAAGAGCACATTTAAGTTCACTGCATTTAACTGTGGTAATATAAACACAAAACCTCTCACTTTGGTTGGGAATATTATTTAGCAATTTACAGTTAGCATTTAGTCAGCGTTTACTGTTTGTTATTAACATCAGTTGAATCTGAATAACAGCCCGTCTCATGTCTTGTTATATAACATACTGTGCTATGGGAAACTCTCCCTCACTCATTGTGTGTGTTCTGTCGCCTTAACTCATGCAAATAGCTGAGTGACGCACTGGCAGATCAATCTCACTGTCAATCTCTCCATTATTGATTGAATGTGGTTGATGTCACGATCTGAAACCCTTCACCTTCTGTCTACTTATGCCTCTGAGTGGATGTAAAGCTAATCAATCTGTATGTATGTGATTCACACGAAATGTATGGAAACAACGTGTAGTTACTCTCAGAGGGCAGCATGTTCAAGGTTAACGGTTTTCAGCGAGCTTTCACTTGGAAGATCTAATGATGACCTTCCCTTTATCTCCATGTCACTCATCTCTGCACCAGGCGTTCAGGGCGGGTGCAGCACTGTCGCATCCACTCGCGTCAGGAGGCAGGTAGCCCCAAGTTCTACCTGACAGACAACTTGGTGTTCGACACGCTCTTTGCCCTGATCAGCCACTACCAGCAGGTGGCGCTGCGCTGCAATGAGTTTGAGATGAAGCTGACTGAGCCGGTGCCTCAGACCAATGCTCACGAAAGCAAAGAGTGAGTCTTAACACAGATTAGAATTAATGTTTTATCTACTGCTTTGCCCCATTTTTTTACTTCAACTCTGAATATCATTTTATAACTACAGACATTGTAGACTGGTCGCTGACAAGAGGTGCGAAGTGAAAAGTTGTGCCCCTGCCTTTATCTATGTTTTGTTGTTTGTCCAAGGTGGTACCATGCCAACCTCTCCAGGAGCCATGCTGAGAACATGTTGATGAGGGTTCCACGTGACGGGGCTTTCCTTGTCAGGAAGAGGGCAGAACCCAACTCGTTTGCCATTTCCTTCAGGTAACTCAGTCCTGTTGCCCCATTCAGTGATATTTGTTTATATCTTATTGGCTTCTAAATTCCTTTTTAATGTACCTGGAAGAGTCACGATTATCATAATAACTAATATTCAAATGAATGCAAAGTAATCGACTGGATATCTGTGGTTTCTTAACAGGGCCGAGGGTAAGATAAAGCACTGTCGTGTGCAGCAGGAGGGTCAGACCGTGGTGCTGGGCACCTCAGAGTTTGACAGCCTAGTAGATCTCATCAGCTACTATGAGAAGCACCCTCTGTACCGCAAAATGAAGCTGCGCTACCCCATCAATGAGGACACACTGGAGAAGATAGGCACTGCTGTAAGTACCACTATACAGTCTATGGCGCACTTACTAGAGATTAATAAACAACAAATATTGTCTATCTTAAGAGTTCAATCAGAATGTGACTGTTTTGTTCAAAGAAATATGAATTTGTGTAGTTGGTATTCTGTGTTAAAATCCCCTGCCGCCGAATCAAAAGAACTGTTATCACACAATCTGTTGTCCAATAGGAGCCAGACTACGGGTCTCTGTATGAGGGCAGGAATCCAGGCTTTTACGTGGAGGCGAACCAAATGCCAACGTTCAAGGTGAGTATACAGTGGAGTTCATGTGTTGAATTCTGCACAGTGAACGTGTGCGTCAAAACCTTCTGCCCTGTCTTTCCAGTGCACGGTGAGAGCCATGTACGAGTATAAAGCCCAGAGAGACGATGAGCTCTCCTTCACCAAGAACGCCATCATCTCTAATGTGGACAAACAGGAAGGAGGATGGTGAGGGCCTGGCATAGCATTCGTGCAGGATGTAGCTCTACATTATCTATTTAGGACACCCCCCTCCCTCCCTCCCTCCCATCTGCTCAATATATCTTATCACATCTCCTTTTCTTTTAGGTGGAAGGGTGACTGTGGAGGGAAGAAGCAGCTGTGGTTTCCTGCCAACTACGTGGAGGAGATCAGTCCATCAGCGGCAGAGCCTGACAGAGCTGTGAGTATCAAACCCACAAACTGAGAGAGGGCTACAGATACACATCTGTATATGTAAAGTGTAATGAGGGCGCCTGCCCCCAATCTCCCAACAAGGAGGTCAGGCCTTGTCACTCATCTGTCCGTTATCCACTGTCACATGTGTAATTTGGATTATAACTTCAAAAGAGGCGACAACTTCTATCCTAATCCTGCTCTTTTCTGTCAAGCAGGAGATGACAGAGAACAGCCCTCTGGGAGATCTACTGAGAGGAAGTGTGGACGTGTCTTCCTGTCAGATTGGTGCGTGGCCCCTCCACTTCCTGTTCGACTCTGTGCTGCAGGGCTGCAGAGCAGACAGTCACCTTGCCAGAGGGCAACCTCCTTTTCTGGCCATCATATGCTTGCACATGATCTCCTAACTAATGTTTTTTTCTATCAGCCTCTTCTATTAGTAATTCTTCTCCACTCAGTTTTATAATTACTCTTGCTTTTCTCCCAGATCTGTATCTGATATTTTATTGACATCCTTCAGTCCAGTCAGTACACACCCATTAGTGTTGGCACATGCTCTCATGCATTGATGTGGCCTCTGCTGATCACTTACTACCTGACCCTCTGTGTGTGTGTGTGCGTGTGTGCGTGCGTGCGTGCGTGCGTGCGTGCGTGTTTGTTTGGGTGGCTCTTTGGCTCCATCTAGTGGTAGTATGGGAAGGATGTAATTATATCTTCCTTGAACACTTTGTCGTAAGGCTTCCTTCACCTCACCACTGGCAGAGAAAGTGATGATGCGGTTTAACAGTTTCTAAATTACACTGACTGTGTGTCCAAAAGTAAATGAAGCCGAGACCACTCTTCATTTGCAGACAGCAGTATTGTCTCTCCATATCGGCCCCTCTTCATATTTGTTTTGTTAAGTCCAGTAACTTTTTATAGATGCAAGTAAATTAAAATCCTTTCACATTTTGGTGGCTGGAGGAAAACTTTTCCACTTAAAATTGGAAAAAATGTCTCCTTCATTCCTGTTTTTCTGCACCTTTTTCTGACCCGTTTCTTTGTCTTCTCCTCAGTTGTGCGTCCTGACGGGAAGGGCAGCAGGCCCCACGTCTTCTCCCTCGTACCGAATACCTCCATGCGGACGGGCCCTGTGCTCGACGTTGCTGCCAACAGCCAAGAGGAGCTCAAGGAATGGGTGTTCAAGATCCGTGAGGTCACCGTGACCTCAGAGGCCAAGGTATGTATACTGTGTCACGTGGCTGACAGGAAATGCAGACTAAGATTTATAACGTGCTCATGCCACATTGTGTGTTCACAGGGCCAGTCGTGACTTGTGTTTGCCCTATAAAACCCACAACCTGTATTCAGGGAACTTAGACTACGCAGTGAGCACATGTGTTGTTTGTTAGCAGACTCACACAGTTACACACACACACTCACCTGGAAGCTGTTCCGTCTTGCTTGGTGCAACCACCTGAGCAGTAGTTGCAGAGGGAAGAACAAAGCTTTAGGCTTCTGTCTGCATCAGATTAAATTTTGTGAATTTTGTTATTGTCTCTGTACACAGCTGGAAGAGGGGAAGATGATGGAGAGAAGGAAGAAGATTGCACTGGAATTATCCGAGCTGGTCATCTACTGTAGGCCTGTGCCGTTTGATGAAGATAGTAAGGATTACACACACACACACACACACACACACACACACACCCACACACACACACACACCCACACACACACACACACCCACACACACACACACACCCACACACACACACACACCCACACACACACACACACCCACACACACACACACACCCACACACACACACACACACACACACACACACTCACTGGACTGAAAACGCACACTGGAGCATAGATGTGACTGATTTCATACCGACGGCATAATTCAGTAGTCACATGTCCAATACGAGTACAGGTAGGTGAGCACTGTCCTCTCTCCCTGCCTCCTGTAGAGATCGGCACAGAGCGAGCCTGTTTCCGGGACATGTCATCCTTCCCCGAGACCAAGGCAGAGAAGTACGTCAACAAGATCAAGGGAAAGAAGTTCCTGCAGTACAATCGACTACAGCTGTCCAGGATCTACCCCAGAGGCCAGAGACTAGACTCCTCTAACTATGACCCGCTGCCGATGTGGCTGTGCGGGTCCCAGCTGGTAGCGCTCAACTTCCAGACAGCAGGTGCTGTATCTACCTTCTTGTCAGAGCAGATAAACACGCATATGAAAGCTTCTATCTATTTTTCTAACATTCCATCTCCTGTGCGCAGACAAGCCAATGCAGATGAACCAGGCCCTGTTCATGTTGAATGGAAGGAGTGGCTACGTCCTTCAGCCGCCCATCATGAGGGACGATAACTTTGATCCGTTTGACAGACATACACTACGAGGCCTTGAACAAGTCACTCTAGAGATAGAGGTACAGTGGTGTGATGACTGCACTGTGTGTTTGCACGTGTGATGCCGTTATACAAATGTTTTCAGACTGTGAGGCACACTTCCCCCCAGGCCGGGCGGGGAGGGGGGGGGGGGGCTTGCTGGTGTTCTGACAACCAACTAAACAAAAGAATAAGTATGACAACCACAACAAGAGATAAGTGATTCTACTTTGGCTGCTGGTTTGACTGTCTTATCTACATGGTCATCAGTTGGAGCAGAGGCTGTGACACACAACTCACTGAGGTAGTTTGCACTCCTTCTTGGCGTCAGGCAAATATGAACACACAGACTTGATACATATATTTTTAGATCCGGTGTGACTTACACTTTCAAAAGATATCGTTATCTCAGATGCCCACCGCAATTAACGTCCACAAATACGCTCGGAAATCATTGAAAAAAGACTTTCCTTACCAGAACTACCACAGAGTAAGACTATAGAAACCCAGCCGTAGTGTCTGCATTTATATTTCTGTGACGTGAAAAGATCTTAAGTATTATATCTTGTATTCCTCTTCTTCTCCTCTGTAGGTTTTGGGCGCACGGCACCTTCCCAAGCACGGACGTGGCATCGTTTGTCCTCTGATCGAGATCGAGGTGTGCGGGGCAGAGTATGACAGCGCCAAGCAAAAAACTGACTCAGAAGGTGAGAGCTGCTCTAATTTTAACCCTGGGTTCCTCTGCCAGTAAAGTGATACTCTGCCAGAACTGAAGGAATGAGTAGATACTGTTTACTGGATACATTACCCTCGTGTAATTTCCTGTCTGGTCCTAGAAAAACAGGAAGTTGTACAAACAACTAAGCCATGTGTGGGAATAAAAAGAGAAAACACGCTGCATAGTGTGGACATTGTTCTGGCACAGCTCTCGTCAGGTTTTATGCTCTGGTTTCAGTCAAAGAAGAAACATGTTGCAATTGATGGTTAATTGTTTCGTGGCTTTATCGTATAAGGTGTTTCCCACATACTTTGCCATTGTATTTGCACTTTTATGTGGCAGACAGTGCTATTAGGGAAGTTAAAGGAAGGAAAGTAACCATGCTGCTTTTATTGTCATACCATTTCATACAAGCTGTTGAGTCGTGCTCTCACTGACAGACTTCTTGAGGAGTTGGCGGTTATGGACAGTAGATTCCGAACTTGAATTTTGTTATTGTATTTTTATATTTACACAGCATAGATCCAAAATAACAAGGATGTCCAGCCTCCTCTGCTATTTTCTACTTGTTATTTATGTTCCTCCCTGTGTTTTGAAAGAAGAAGGAGTAACAGGCCAATTTTTTTCTTGCTGGATATTGACACAGCTTTAAAAATGTGTAACACAGAAACACAATATACACAATATGATTATTGAGAAGTTTGTTCCACTACTGTATCACTGGTAAAAGTAACAAAACCATCAGTAAATACATATTGTGCGTTTCTCATCTCTCTCGTTTCATCTGTTTTTGTTTTTTGTTTTTTTTGTCTTCTCCAGCTGATAACGGTCTGAACCCCACGTGGCCCCGGAAGCCATTCCAGTTCACAGTGTGCAACTCCGCATTCGCCTTCCTCCGCTTTGTGGTTTATGAGATCGACATGTTCAATGACCAAAATTTCTTGGCTCAGGCCACATTCCCCATTCATGGTCTCAAGACAGGTACACACAACAATAATACGCTCTCTGAGATGACCAAAGGTCCTGTTGTGAATCTGTGATGTAATGAAAGCCTCTTGTCTCGGTCTCCCCGTATGGCGCCAGGTTACCGGTCAGTACCTCTCAAGAACAGCTACAACGAGGATCTGGAGTTGGCTTCTCTGTTAGTCCACATGGACATCGTCAGAGGCAGGGTGAGCTGCTGTTTGTTAGTGAGCCGTTCCTAAATCTGCTCCATGATGTCTTCACTTTCAATAAACACTGCGAGCACCGATATACAAACAGAAAGCAGCTCAAGCCAAAAGACCGCTTGGCTTTACAAGTGGGTTATGTCACAGGCCTGGGGACTTTCTAGACACCAGTAATTTACCAAGAAATTGTCTGGCATGTAACTGCTTGTAAAGCCACAACGTGTCGGTTTATACTTTGTACTTTATACTATTTTTGTACAGATTAAACAGAATATAACATGTTAATTAATCAGTTCTAGAGGTGCTAATAGGAGGATTTTGTTACCTTTGACAAAACAGGCTAGCCTTTTAGTTAGTTAGTTAGTTAGTTAGTTAGTTAGTTAGTTAGTTAGTTAGTTAGTTAGTTAGTTAGTTAGTTAGTAAACCTTAGATTTACCATACAGATATCAGAGTATTAATCTTCTCTTCTAACTCTCGGCAAGAGAGCAAATATGTAAAACTACTCTTTTAAAATGAGCCTGTATGTTAATTCTATAGGAAGTGATCTAAAGCTCACATTTGACTAACTCCCCTGGAGTGCGTGAATCATCTCTCTCCTCCTTGTTCTCTCAGGATGAAAACGGAGAGGTTCTGAGCCCGTTTCTTGCGGTCGGGGCCACATCACTGTCAGCATCTGCCCAAGCAGGGAGGGAACGTTTGGGGGACTTGAGCTCGGTGTCTTCGACTTCCTCCAGCATGTCTGCTCTGCCCCAGTCACCGGCCCAGGCCATGGCCTACAGGGGGAGGGAGGGCTCCTTTGAATCCCGCTACCAGTCCCCTCTAGATGACTTCAGGGTGTCCCAGGAGACATTGCTGGACCACATGGACCCACAGAACAGGAGGTAAATGTTTGGTGTGTTGGTTTTGGTGTGTGCAGTGAGTTTGGAGGCGGTAGAAGATTCCAGACATCCTCCTGTCTTTGTCTTTACCTCAGGATGTTGCGGAGGACCAGAGTGGGCGGAGAGAACCGTGTCTGAGTCCAAGCCAATCAGGACGCATTTCTGTTGCACCCCCCCCACCCCTCCTCCTCACCAGTCGCCTCTCCCGTACTGATGATGTCACTGATGATGTGAACACTGTTCCATGGAAACGCCCACCACCGCTTTGGCCTACATTTCAGGCAGCTCTCCCTCCCTCCATTCTCCAACACCCACCCACCCCTCTCTCTCTCTCTCTCTCTCTCTCTCTCTCTCTCTCTCTCTCTCCCCCTCTCTCCCTCTCTCCCCTCCCTGCCGCCCAGCCTCCCCACCACTCGCCTAATGAGAAGAAGGGACTCGGACATTAGAGGAAGGGGGGGGGGCTGAGAGGAAGCTGACCGCTGCAGACAGGAAGAAGAAACGGACGTTCACAGGAGAACAAAAACAAGGCTGAACAAGTCCCAGCTCTGGACTGGTTGTTTGCAGAGCAGCTTGTCCTCCTTGTGTTTCTATGTGTGCACAACAGCTGCTTAGTTTGGAGGCTAAGAGGAGGGAGAGAGAGAGCTCTAAAAGGTATCAGTTTGAAACTGTTTCGTGGTTAAGTTTCTTTGCTCTTCTCTATTTGGCGTATATGAATATATATATTTATTCCTGCTATGCTGTTGGCCAGAGAACAGCAGCAGCTGACCTGCTCTCAAAGAGCTCCTGTCTCCATGTTTTTAATTATTATAATTATTTAAACCTTTTAACATTCATAATGTGACTTCTTTTTTTCTTTTTTTTTCTTCTTTTTTTAATGTATATGTGTAAAACACGAGGGCTCTCTACGGCTATTTTTAATGTCTCCCTCTTCTCTGCTTTGTGGAGGAATGCATCTCCAGTGTAACACCCTAATCCTGGAGGGATATTTAATTTTTTTTTTTTTTTTTGAAGGCATCAGGAAGAAGTCAGAACCTGTTTGTGTTAGAAGCAGTGGGAGAGAAAGCAGCATCATATGTTATGTCTGCATACACACACACACACACACACACACACACACACACACACACACAGCCAGGCTTTTTTTTTTTCTTCTAACTTACATTCCAAAAAATTGCACATCATTCCATTTTCCTGCGTCGCAGGCGCCTTTACAAGCCAGTCTGACACATTCAAGCATCTGTCTCCCTCACTGAGTCTTACTGCTCAAGGATCATGTCTGTAGGAAATCTTATCGCCTCACTGTGTGATAAAGCAGGACCAGGGATACATGTCAACCCTAAAAAAAGGGGTTGTGTTCTGAGTGTTGAATGATAATTGTCCGTTTTTTTTGTTGTTTTTTTTTTCCTCTCTTTCTGATTTTTGCTCGTATCATCTTCCCCTATGTTTATAGGCGTTTTAATGGCAACACAGTCGTCTTGTCAATCAAGGGAATGTTCTTTAGGGCTGTGAGCTAAAATGACAATACTGATAACTTTGCTGGATAATGTGATGGGTCTTTTTTTTTTTAAGAACAAAGTGCTTCGAGGAACACAATTATGTACATGTACTCACATTTTTAAAACATTTTCATTCATGGAGAACATGGTAAATGTTTCAAGTTTGTCTGTATACCATAAATGCTGTAATTATGGAAACTGGAGATTGTAGTAGGATTACATGTTTAAGTGTGCAGCCCTGTGTTCTCAGGATTCATAATTGAATGTTTTAGAATTGTGGATATTTTTTTTACCAACATTTCAAGTCTTTAAACAAAATGATCATTGTTTTAATTTGTTCCTAATAGCCATTACTATAACTGACATTACTATGAGCTGTCACTCTTTTTGAGACGTATGTTTCAACACGAACAGACATCTCTTAAAGTGGTTTTGAGCTCCTGAGCAAAGGGGTTTTCCTGCGACCAGCTTGTTTTGGTTTTCAGTTGTTAACATTTGTACAATTGGAGTTTCCCCAATGTTTGAATTAGAAAAGAAATTCAGTGCTGTGAGCAAGTGAGACGGTTTGTATTGCCAGAGTAAGGGGTAAAGAAATTATGCCATGTTGTTTGACTTGCTATGTTTTGCAGCGCCACACAGACATGAGGGACATTTTGTGTATGATGTTCCTGGGGAGTTTTGTCACAGCACTAAGCCGCTTTCCAGAAACCTGTGAGGATTTTAAGTTCCACTGCCATGAGATAGTTAAACCGCCACTGCCCGTGAATTTATTGTCGGCGAAATGTGCAAGAATGGAAACCGAGTGAATGCCAAACGCTACACTTCATAACTCATCATTCCCAACTTTAGATCCTCATTCTGGCTTCTGCTCATAAATGTTAGTCTAACTTGGTAAATAAGACTTCTCTTGAGGTAAATGTCAGTGCCCTTAAATGTGCAGGGAGTTCTCATCTCCTTGCGTGAGAAGTGTGTTTGGGAGGAACAGACCGAGTCTAAGCTTCAGACTTTGTTGTAGCTGCGTTTCTGTGACTGATGGATGACAAAAGGTGCCTGGAGGGGGGTGGGGGGAGGGGGTGGGTGGAGGTCTCGGCCTTCATTGAGCCCATATAACCGATGGTGTTATCTTTCCAGGTTTGTATCAGAAACAGTGTTTTCTCTGTTTGTATGTGATGACTGTATGATGTAAACTCAGTATTCTCACTCAGTGTTTGACCACTGAGACACACCTAAGCCATATGGTATGATTTAAGGTAAAAGCAGGGACAGGAGCGAATACTTGAGGTCTCACTGAAAATTTTTGGCATCTTTTTTTTTTTTTTTTTTTTTTTTTTTTTTTTTTGCACGCCGATATTAATCCCAAAGCTCCTCCATATTACATTTATTTTTCCTCCAGTGGTCAATGAATGATTCTTGTGGAGAGCTTTCCCTCCAATGCTGCATTTCTCTTATTGCTGACCTGTCCGCTAACGTCTACGTGCCTCCGTCTGTGTACACATCACATTAAATGAAGCCACATCATTCAGCTACCCCGCTGGGCTTACAGCACCCGCACAGCCATCGGTACACCCACACAGGTGTTGTCACTTGTTTGTGGATGGTGGGACCTCCTCTCAGCACTGTGTGAGCGTGTATGGACCATGTTTGACTGGCATGTCCCTGACTCTCCTGTTTGGTTTGTTGTACTCACTGTGGCGGGACAACGAACTGTAAAGAGGTCAAATCAAACAGAAAGACTGAGAACTCCTGTGTGGGTGTACAAAGCCCTTAAGTGTCATTTGTTCTGTGGTTTTTGTTTTTGTTTTTGTTTTTTTTTCTCCAATCTTTGTCTGTTTTGTTACTGACAGCCTCATTTACAGTCGCCTTTCTGTAATGTGCCTAAACTATGGAGAGGAAAAGTATTCATTTTAATTTTGCCTTTCATATGAAACATATTCAAGCCTGAAAAGTAAATAAAATACTTACTACTTTATACTACTTTGTCTTCTTTTCTTTGCCTGGAAAATGTGATTGAATGTAATTCAGTCAGGCGCATTTATTATCAGTCAAACGTTGTTGAATGCACCAGAGAGAATCGGTTTCATTAGCTCCAGATACTGCACCGCAGGAAGACAGTGCTTAAGTTTCAGTCTCAGATATGTTAATAGCAGCCTGGGAGTAGGTGGATTTATCTATTGCAGTCTTGATTAGCTGAAAGGGTTTTTTGAGGGTTTGTGGAGTTAATCTGTCTTATGTGATAATAACCTGAATATCTTTGGGGCTGTTGGTTGGACAGAACAAGAAATTTTAAAACGTCACTTAAGGATTTAAGAACGTGTGATGGCTATTTTTGGCTGTAAGTGAGAGAGAGAGAGAGAGAGATCATGACAAATGCACAGTAACTTGCAACAACAAATGCAGGCCTCTAACACCCAGACTTAAGGATAAATCAAGAAAATATAAAGCATATAAATAAACAATAAACATATTAAAATGTTAAGATTATTTTAGATTATAGTCAACATCGGGCAGACATGATAATATCCTACACCATACACCAGGGGTCAGCAGTTAGGTTCAACCAGTTGTCAGTTTTTTTCAGCACTTCATTTTGGGGTCAAGGTAGTGGAAAAACATTGATTTTGTTTATTTCTATAATGGATTTAATTGATTTGTAAAATGTTTTTTAAGATTGTACCTAAGGACAGATATAAGTTTTCCTATTAGTGAGACTCAGATGTGAATATACACTCACCAAGTAGCAATTGATTAGGAACACCTGTACACCTGCTTATTCAGGCAATTATCCAATCAGTCAATCATGTGGCAGCAGTGCAGTGCAGTGCAGATACAGCTAGGGAGCTTCAGTTCATGTTCACATCAAGCATCAGAATGGAGAATAAATGATTGCTGGTGTGAGACTGACCAGACTGGTTGGAGCTGAGAGAAAGACTGCAATAACTCGGATAACCTTTACAACTGTGGTGAGCAGAAAAGCATCTCAGAATGAACAACGTGTTTAACCGTGAGGTGGATGAGCTACAACAGCAGAAGACCACGTCAAGTTCTGCTCCTGTTGGATGAGAACAGGAATCTGTGTCTGCAGTGGGACACAGGCTCACAAAAACTGGACATTTGAAGACTTCTCTGGATTTCTACTGAGGCACCAATCAATCATTGTCTGAATGCAACAGCCTATCTGGGTTTTGTTACTGACCATGTGCAATGACAAGATTGGCAGCATGACTGTGCAGCTGACAAATCTGCAGAAATGATGTGATGCAGTCGTGTCACCATGGAGCAGAATCTCAAAGAAATGTTTCCAACATCTTGTGGAGTCCAAGCCACGAAGAACTGAGGCTGCCTGAAGAGCAAAGGGAGGAACCATCCAGCACTGGTGGTTTTGAATGAAGTGCTCGGTAAGTGTTGCAAAACAACACAAAATATGTAACTGATAGTTTATCTGTTAACGGTAGGTAACAGGGTTGTGGTCATTGGGAATCACCTGAACCTTATGCTGACATCAACTGTAGATTTATGAAAAATTATGTAGGAGTTTTCATTACTATTCAAAGATAAGGCTTGAATCTTTCCATATTTTTCTGCTTGTCAACAAATCCCCTGAAAAGACCAACTTTGTTGGTACCGTCTCGCAAATCTCCCTACTGTCTAATTTTATTCATACAGCCCCATAGCACACATTTGTCACAAGGGGTTTTCCAATCTGTTCAGAATAGGGCACCCTCTGTCCTCAGTTCCTGGCCTATTGGCTCCTATTGAGGACGTGAACCTTCAAAAATGGGTCACAAATTTATAGTTTATAGTTATAATAAATATATATAACAGCTGGGCACTGTAGTTTTTCAGTAGTTAATCAAACAGGAGTAAGCTGTGGATAAATACACATTTGACAAGCCTGTATTTAGAGCAACAGGACAGTGTATTTGGGATTGAGTCAAAATAAACTACAGTGTGTAAGTTTATTGTAATAAAGGAACATCTCCCACAATGTGACTTGGCTACACTGGCGATACTTGTTAGTGGGATCAATTTATTGTTGGTTGTGGTGTTTTTATGGGATTTGTTGACAAGTAAAATATAGATTACAACCAGTGTTATCCTTTAAACACTATGTGGAGGACTTGGAAGCCAATAACACCCAGAGCCACAGGTTTATTACATTCTGTTTATTCTGCAAATACCATCTGTAAAAATTATACATCAAGCCTAAGTATGGAACTCTGGTAAAAGTTCACAGTTCTTTTACAGTCAAATTTATTTTATAAGAAAGTTCCATAAAAACAAATGTACGTATACGTCAGTGACGTTAAGAAGAAGCACTTGATGCTACAACACAAACCAGATTCCATATTCTAATATATTGTGTCGCCTTTTTTGTTTGAGACACAACAGGGTGCTTGCCCTCTTTGGATGAAACAATTCCAGACGTTTTCCCATACTGAACAATTTTATGTTCTATTTAACCAAAGAGTATGTACAAATAAGAAATGAAAAGAGAGTACAAAGAGATGTCCAAAAATAACTTCAAGACATGATCAAATTAACATCAGTGCAGAGTTTCACATAAGATGCTATGAACAGCGTCGCTAGCATGTTCAGAGTAAGCTGCAAGCACAAAGTCAAAGTGTGAGAGTGCATGGTGAAGGTCAAAGCAGTATGAAAATGACACAATGGAAAAAAGAAGGTTCATTTGATTTAGTTTAAGGCCTAGGCAAGCACCCTGTAGAGCTGTGCAGTTTCTCGTACCCCAAAACAAACGATGAACAGTATCCCACTGCCGATCCTCGTCTGAGGGTTGACTTGGTCGATAACTGTCCAAACCCAACCCCCACCCCTGATCAACATCTGCTGAGGTCTCAATCTCAACCACACTTCTCCCTTTTTTTTTTTCCCTCTTCATGTTCTTCCTCCACATCCCCCCTCGCCTTTTTTTTTTTTTTTTCTTTCTTCCTTTCTCCCATTCCAGCAGGCAGGCAGAACAAACACGGCAGAAAAACACCTCGCCCCTCCCTCCACCACCTCCACTCCTGCACTTCAGTTTCTACTGGAACTTCCTTCTGAAGGGAAAATGGCGGACAGGAGGATATTGGAGAGGGTGTGTGTAGCAGGGGGGTAGACAAAACAGGGGGAGGGCAGGGAGAGTGGGTGGGTGGATAGATGGATGGATGGGGGGGAGGGAGGTGGGTGTTAGTGGCTTTAGCGTCCATCTCACGTAGCGGGGGAGGTCATGTCAACCTCTAGGGGTGTGAGCGAGAAGGAAAGAGGGATGGGTGGGGATGGTTTCAAGGTCCAATTCCATCCAGTGATCCTGTTACAACCGCATCTGCCATCTTTTACTCAGACTCCCGACACAAAGACCACCTGCGTCGTGAACTCCATCCTCAAACAAAAGCCCTCTTCAGTCTGTTCCTGTAGCAATTAAACAAAAAAAAAATTTAAAATCCATTAGCCAGACAACACACTCCAGAAAACATGTATAAATTTTCTTCAAGATTATACAGTGCGCTGGTGTCGGACATGTATTTGTTTGAAATAAATACCTGTCACAGCGCGCCTCATTACTCATAATTATGATCATTTTGTTTTTGTATGTTCCACTTTACACTTCTGTGTCACCCGAGAGACAATTACACACATTACTGTGGTGACTCATCCCTATTTAACACCATTTAACAACCAGCACCAGCCAAAAAAAAAGATAGATACAAGATAAAAACTAAGCATTTCCTTTTTAAGCCTAAATACTTCCTTACTTTATTTTATAACGGGTCTGATTTAGGGCTGCAACAACTGTCACTTAATTGATTAGTTGAATGTGATTGTCCAAATTAATAGATACATTTAAAAAATGCCAAAAATGATCCAGTTCCAGCTTCTGAAATGTGACAATTTGCTGCTTTTCTTTGTCATATGTGTAATCTTGGGCAGTAACACATTACTAAGTGACATGTTACAGTAACGTGATTACTTTAAAGTCATAAGTAGTCTAAGTGATTACTATTTGAAATTCAGTAGATGCAGAACAGTTGGTAATCCCATAATTTGGGGGTTGACTTGTTTGTTACCGAGTTTAACTGAGGGCTGATATGAATGTGGTTTGTGTGCGGTCTGTCGGGATACTGGTCCATGACATGTTTGTTGTGAGGGGAGGGCAGTAGCTTCTACAAAAGGAGGACATGTGTCTCCAGGTAGTCTCAAAGTTGTCATCTTTAAATTTTGTGTGTTCCTGCCTGTCTGATGTGGAAAATATTAACCACAGGTTGGAGGGTGTATAATTGCGAGCTATGTGCAGTCACTAAGGCAAAGTGAGCTGCTGGATGGTCAGTAAAAACCTTCAAACTGAGGAGCTGCCTGCTCGTTAAACTTTCTCATCTTCTGTTGCATGTGTTAAATACAAAATATGCGACGTGGGTGTAAAGGAAGTGAAGTACTTTCAAAAGGAGTTAACGACAGTAAAGTAACAAGAAATGGAACATATGACTTTTGCTGCTGAGTAATTAGTAAAGTGATGTGATTACTTTGTCAATGAGTAACGGGTAACTGATTAGATTTGATGAATGAATATCTTGAGGTTTTGAACTCTGTCGGACAAAAGGAGCATACTGAAGACATCACCTTGGGCTCTGAGAAATTGTGAATGCCATTTGTTCTTTTTATATTTAATACATTAATCAAGAAAATAATCAATGATTAAAATAACAGCCCTAGTATGGTTGCAGTGTGTTTTACTCTACCGAGTCAATCTTATGGGATTTTACTACTGTACTACTGTATGTATCACACTAAAGACTAAAACTCGTGAAGACTACCTTTAGTAGGATTCACAGTCTCTTCAGTTTTGGCCTCCTCTGCTTCTGTTGCGACGCCACACACCGACTGCTCCATTTTCTCCTCCGTTCCTCCTCCTGGCTGTGACTCCAGAGGGGAGGATCCTGTTGTTTGTGGCTCGGCTGCCACACCTGGTGCTACTGGTTTTGGTTCTGTCGCATCAGAATCAGCAGTTTGTTCCATGTGGGGCGAAGCTGCCTTGGTAGAGAACCAGTGTCGAACCAAGTCCGTTGTTAAACCACTAGCCTGAGCCAGTTCCTGCAGCTGTGTGGAAAGAATCGTCCATGTTAGTTCAAAGCTCCACATCAAACGGACGGGCAATGACGAGGTTTGGCCCGTTCCATTTTGATCACAAATTTTAAAAGACCTCATTAAATCACAGGATATGGGTAAATGGTGAAAACATAGTGTAATTTATAAGCGAAGAGTAATAAAATTAGCATACTGCCTCATGATGTCAGCTACACAGCAGTATCTATCTAAAGTTAATTAGCCATCTTATTATTTATTATTAATTCTATACAATGTAATGCAATCCAGCACAAGATCTCCGCCACATATTCTTCCTTTACAAAACTTATAATGGCCAGTTATTCTTCCAAGGTATTAATTCAGCCATATATTTATTAATGTTTATTACTGAGGTGGTAATCAATGGTGGTGCAGGACTGCATTACACTGAATATTCTTCCTGCCATGTGTTTCCAAGTGGTGACCTCTCTGAATGTTATCATCCTTGTGAAGGTAGGATTTATGACCCAGCTGTTGTATTGGCTGGCATTAGATGTTACCTAACGAAGCGGTCGCTGAGTGTATTTTCCAGAGCAATTTATCTCCAGACCAATATATTAATGTTGTACCACTGATGCACAGAAAATATAATGTAAATACTGGAAAAATATTTTACATTCCATCCTCCTTGATCTTGTTTATCCTACCATGATCAAGACACGCCTTTCTCTTTCATTTTACCTAATTTTTAGGTTTGTTTCTATTTAATATGAGCTATGAACTTTATGTATGTGCAAATTTACTCAGCACTAAAAAAAAAACACAATGTACATGTGCTCTAATCATCAAAACCTGAATGTAGTCAGAGAGACACTTGGATGCATTAGACAAAATCAATAACGGATGTTAATATGTTAATACTAAGAAGATAAACAATGTCGATCACAATATTATATCGCTGTGTCCTAGACTATCATCTGTTTCTCTATTATCACCTGGCTCTAAAATATAAATTAAAACAGTTTTCTCAGAGAAAACCCCTAATCACACAAACAAAAAATTTACCAGCGCAGAATAATCAGAGAAAATCTATCAACTTCTTTCTAACTTCATACTTCGTATTGTAGTTGCTCAAACTCCTATGTTTGAATTCTAGTGTTGTTTTACTTGTCTGTACCACACGTCTGTTTTACACTTCTTCGCTGTTATGACACTTTAGAATTTCACAGCGTGGGATCAAATAAGTTGTTATCTGACATACAGTGGCTATGCCAAAATGAATAAATAATTAAATAACTAAAAACGTGTATGCTTCTGATGCACACAAATCAACCGAAGTGCCACACAGCATAAAATGAACATAGCTTAATAAAACACGCATGCTCTGAGTGCTACGCCTCCAACAGCACATTGATATTTTCACTCAAAAGAACAAACTGCTTCATAAACAAGCTGTTTTGACATCTGCAAATTGCAGGGAAATCCCATGCACTGAGTCCTGAGTATAAAAAAAAAAAAACTTCAGTATTGTATAGCTGACAGTTGTGCATTTTGACTAAAATTCTGACACAACCAAGTAGCTTGCAGATGTCTCTGACATTTCTGAACCGGCACGCCCTCCTCAATGTATGAATGGCGTACGGCGCTGAAGTCTAGCACAAAGTGGAATATGTATGTTAAACTGTGTCTTTCGAAAATGATGCAGTTTAAAGATACATTTTCATGTGATACTCAGGTGACTTTTCTCTACGCAGTCAAAGAGCCGGTCACATTGAAATAATTGATAGAAGTTAAAGTCAGAAATCAGTGAAACACAGCGAAAAAAATTGGTGAATTTGTTTCAAACTGATTAAAAAAAATAAATAAATAAATAAATAAATCAATCATATTAATAAATGATAATGATACACACATGCATCTAGGAAGTGAAATTCGGGGGGGGGGGGGTGTATGTTATCACTTGTGTGGCCACAAAGTCATTTGCATGTAAACCCTCAAAATAACTTCTGCTTAACACAGGAAAACAACTGTGGCTTTAAGAAAAGTGCATGAATGTTCCAAGGAGTAAAAAAAGTAATAACAAGAAACTTTATGGAGCAACTTGTTACCTAGAGTAAAAGCATAACATAAAACAGAGTATTAAGACTAAAATCCATCCTGGTCTTTTATTATAGCAGCACAGATTATTCATCTGCCTCTCAGGCTTCAGTTGTTCAGAGCCACTGAACTTCTCTAAGAAAACAAGTAAACTACTTGTTGTCGTCAATACCTGTGACTCCTCGAGGCTGCCGTGGACGTCGAGGTGGGCCTGGAGAATCTCTGCGTTCCCTTTCTGGAGATCCTCCTCCAGAGCCGTGGTCTGATATGACTCCAGCCACTTCAGTTGGCCGTTCTTCTGCACATAGCGGCAGTCCCCAAACCAGCGCACTACTTCAGGTCTGGGCAGTCCAGTACCTGAGATGAGTTCATCATACTGAGTAGCGCTGGGCCACTGGGTTCGGGCGTAGACTTGTTTGAGCAGGTGAAGCTGATCTGCTGTCTTCTTACCTCGGATGGCTGTGGGTTTGGGAGAGTGGGATGGTTTGTGTGTCGGGGTGGAGGATTGGGGTGGTTTGGGGGTGGAAGATGGGGCGGGGCCTGGGGAGGACGCAGGTGTGCCGCTGGTTTGAAGTGGTAGAGCAGGGCTATCCAACCCTTCCCCCTCCGCTTTGCCATTGGCCTCCGTCACCTTCAGCATCTTCAGATTAATTTTAATAGGGTTGACTTTCAGTTCTCCTGAAGCGTCCTCTCTTTGTCGTTCCTCCCCTTCTACCTCCATCTCCCCCTCCTCTTCTCTGACTGCGCGCTCTGCCTCCTCTTTCTTCTTCTCAGCTGCCAATCTCTTCCTCCTCTCAGCAAACCAGCCATGGATCTCCCTCCTGGTCATCTTGGTCTCAGATCGCAGTCTGTCAACTTCTTCACCCGTTGGGTCAGTGTCCTGGGCAAAACTGGCCTCTAATGCCTTTACCTAAACATGACACAGGTATTGACAAGGTCAGTGGCTTGGAGGAACTGAGTAGAACTAAACAGAGGGATTAGCTGATCAAATAGAAAATTAATTTGCAACACTTGTCAAACAAAAAGACCAAAACATTTTCTGGTTCCAGCATCTCCACTGTGAGGATTTGTTGCTTTTCTCTGTTATATCTCACTGTAAACTAAATTATTTTGGGTTTCGGACTTTTGGTCGGACAAAACACAAAATGTTAAGATGTTACCTTGGCATCAATACATTTCTGATGGGCATTTTTCACTATTTTCAGGCCTCATATAAATTACATGATGTACTGGTTAATAGCCACTGATTTAGCATTGCTCTCCTATAACTCAGTCAAGCTCACAATGGACTGACAATTCAGCAAAACCAGAGATACCATCTTTTTTTACACTACACTCAACTGCAAACAGTTTGGTCAGTATTCAGCTGTGTTGTACTTAGCGGCTAATGTAGCTTCAAACTGCTATCTCACTTCTTTCCAACTTCAAACCCCCCAGATGTTTTTCATTTTCAAACTTGTCTTCAGCTAAATAACACTGGTGTGAAGTTGTCTGATTTTTTTTTTTTTTTTTCTGATGAATTCAGACTTTGTGCAAACCTGAACAACCTGTTCAACATTTTATGCCCATGACTTGTTGCACACAAAGGGCAGATTCTCACCTGGTGGGGTTCTCTCTCCTTGTAGCGGATAGCTGTGAAGTCAGGAGAAGGTGGTCTGGGGAGTCGGCGGGAAGGTGTGGTGGGTGAGGTGGGAGTCTGTGTTGCAGTTGGACTCAGAGGTGCAGAGCTGTGCTGGGGTGTTTTTGCACCAGAGTTGCTGCTGTTTTCTGAGAGGTCGACAGGGTTGACACTGCCAGCGGTGCCACTCCCTGGTGTACTCGAACCACTCCCTGGTCCAGCTGCAGTGCTGGATTTAGTCTGCGCACCTGTGCTGGTGCGTGAACCTTTGAGGTTGCGAAAGTGGTACCGCCGGTCACTGAACCACTTGCGGACTTCTCGTACTGTGAGCCCGGTAAGAGCAATGAGGCGGTCCACCTCCTCCTGGTCGGGAAACTGGCTTACCTGAAAACTGTCCTTCAGAGCGTTGAGCTGCTCTTGAGACTTCTTGCCCTTGTAAAAGTTGGGGTCGAGGAATGCGTTAACAGGTGTCCTGGAGCCGGGTGTGCTGCTTGAAGGCGCTGCAGGAGAGGGGGAGGAGGATTTGGATGCAGGGGAAGACGCATCCTCCATTTTGATGGTTGGAGAGTCACTGGTGGTGGGGTCAACATCGTCTGTGCTTGCGTTATTTGTGTTATTTTTGTTATTTTTGTTGCTGCTACCATTAGTATCTTTGCTCCGCTGTCCTTCACTGCCTGCCTTGCTGTTACTGTTAACAGATTTGCTGTCTATGGTGTTTTTGCTTTCTGTGGTTACTTTGTTGTCACTCTGCACGAGGCTGGTGTTGCTGGCTTTGCTGATATCAGTGTTCTTAGCATTTACATGGCTGGTAACATTACTATTGGTCTTGTCATTGCAGTCTGCATTAGCACTTCTGTGTTTACCATTGACAGTGCTCACCCTACCATTACCATGATTACTGCTTCCAAGACTAAGGTTGATGACACTAGCTTGACTGCTACTAATAATGCTGCTAGTGCCCCCTCCCCCACTCCTACTACTATTGCTGCTGCTAATGATGTTGCTCCCAGTGCTGCTGCTGCCCACCGTCCCCACCACCATGCTGACGCCTTTGTCTGCCACCAGGGCTGCAGCAGGTCGGGCCTGCATCATGGGGCGAGCTGCTGCCTGCGGCTTGGGTGTGACAGCCAGGGCCACAGGAGCACTGCTAACCTGGATACCGTTGGCCATTACAGGCTGTGTGACGATTACCCCTCCTTGGCTGACAAGAGATCCCTGCAGGATATGAGGAATCCCAGTGGCTCCCAGTGACGCAGGCAGGACTGTGATTGTGTGCTGGGCTGGGCTGTGGTGACTCTGTGTGTGGCTCTGCGAGCTGGAGGGCGCTGTCTGAATGATGGTGTTGAACATCTTCCTCCTGGCCTCCTCGATCTCCTCAGGAGACCAGCTGATGCCTTGTTTAAGTCTCTGGGCTGTGAACCAGATCTTAATCTGCTCTTCAGGGAACTTTGTGACCACAGTCAGATAGCAGAGCTCAGCCTTTGTGGGGTATGGGAACTTACTGAAGGAGGTCTTCAAGAAGGAAGAGGAGTCCATGGAGGCACTGTAAGTAGGGATGCTGCTCAAAGGAATCATCACCTGGTAGAGAAAAATATGAAAACGAGAGCAGGAGATTATTATGTTATTTAATATAAAGTTAACAGTGGTACACAAAATACAAATAAAAACAATTACCTTGGGGAGGTTTTTGGAGGAAGATGACGAAGAAGTGGAGGAAATATTTGAGGAGGCTGTGATTGGTGCAGATTGATGAAGGCCTCTGCTTTGAACCACTGAGACCACCTGTAGAAAACAGATTTAAAACAATCTAAATAATATAATCTAAAAATCAAAACAAACCTTTCCAAAACAGTCAAACTAAAAAAAAACAAAAGAAATACCATCTACCTGTGTGATGGGGGTCTTGAGCATCGGTAATGCTCCAGAGCCATTGACTATCTGGATTGCTGAGGGCAGCGTGACCTTGGTGGTTCCATTGTGAACTATTGTGGGAACATGGGTGACCGTCACTGCAGCAGTCTCTTTTCTCTCGACCTCTCTGGAGGAAGAGATGGAGTGAGGGTCTGAGGAAGACTCATCAGACACTGGGTGAGACACTACTATCCGTTTAGGCTCTGATTTGCCCTTCAGCATCCTCATAATTGGCGTTTTGGTGATGGAAATCTCACTGTCCTTCCCTGACTCTGTCCCAGTTATAAGATTCTGCTCCACCACAACCCTCCTGTCCCTCCTCCTCAGCTGTAAAGTGGTGTTCAAAGTGCTGGGGTGAACCCTGGCATTGTGCAGGGCCAGCCCTTCAAACTTGGGCGCTGAAACCCCACAGCACACACAAAAGAAGCTGGGGTCGGCACGGAAGTCTGGGTGCCCGGTGTACACGTGATCCAAGAACAAGTTAAGGTCATGGGTTTCAAAGTTACAAGGCTTACAGGTGTAAGTGCCAGCACCGTCTTTGACAGCATCCCCTGCCTCTAGTTTGGAAGACTCTCCAGGATCTAAGGGGCTATGTCTGCCCCCTCCAGAAATCCTGGACTGACGGAGAAGAACAGGAGAGTCCTGTTCAATTTCCTCTGGCGGGCGTATGATCTTGCTAGGTATCATACAAGGAGTAGTAGACTTCCTCTTGCTGGCCATGGTGTGATCACGAGGTGGGGAGGGTTGGTCAAATGGCTGTGAATGGGGTGTGAGTGGGAATATAAGTTGTTTCTCGATGACTATAGACCAGGCGTGGGGGAAGGAGGACGGTGGTACTTGTCCATAGGTCCACTTGCAGTTCTCACTGCAATTTTGAGGTAAAAGACCTGGAAAAGAGAGGAGAACATGTTTTAGTTCAAGTCATCAATCACCATACAATACGATACACCTGTAATTTGTTGAGTAGATTTGCATGAAATGTTTAATTTTAAGTGCAAATGAGGGCAGAGATGGGAGAGTGAGAACAGACTGTGAGGAGAAGAAATAAGATGGGATATCTTACACTCTTCAGTACAAGCTGGTTTCCTCTCAGCTGGATGAAAATCATGCACGGCTGGATGTTTTCAAGTCAAATATCAACAGCATAAGTAAAAATAAGGCCTTGTGAAAAGATTCAGCTGAAGTCCTTAAAATCCAGAGTTGCTTGTAAATCTTTAATTAAAAAAAAAAAAAAAAAAAAAATCAAGTCTTCTCCTCAACTCTCATGGCTATCTCCTTTTGAGAGGGCATTCAAACAAGCGCAGTCTGCTTCTTCACTAAAGGCTTTTTGGGAGAACTCCTGTCTTACCCCCTTCTTTCCCCTCCCCCACACAACTCTGTCTCACTTCCCCTCGTTCAGACACACCCCCACAGAGAGAGCACATTCTGTATTTTTTTTTTTAATCCAGTGTCTGTAGCTTCACTGAACACCTTCATAAAAAATTGCCACAGAAATAGTCCCTTGTAAATGTGTTTCTTTTGATAGGGTCTACTTGACAATTGTGCAAGTGGGTGGTTCAACAGATATTACTTGGAAAGATGGTGTTCTCACCCAACAATGGTACAGTCAGCACAGACAGAAACACACAAATCTGCACATGAATATGAATCTTGAAATTTTCAATTCACCCTCTGATCCCCTGTCTCCATACAAAATGGCGAAGCTTCCTGTGGAGGAGTTTTCCCCTCCCTCCTTCCTTCGCTCCCTCTCTCTGACAGAGAGGTTGTGATGCAGCATTGGAGGACAGCTCTAGGGCAATTGCTCTCCCAATCACTCTGCACCGACATGACACCTCACGCACAGAGCAGCAAAAGCTCACAAAAAGTTCAAAGGCTTGCAGAAGTTCAACAGGAAAACCCTTCAAACCTCTGAACGTCCAGCACCTCCCTATGCAAAGACATTTTATTGACAAAACCAAACGCAGCTTTTCTAGTAGAGCGCCCCAATCTAAAATAATCTTGCCTTTCCTATGCACAAATGGAGCAGTTCAATGCAAATATAAATGTGCCTGAGACTAGTTTCAGATTCAGTGCAACCTCTTTGTGCAATATGCTGCTGCAGCACCACCACCATCTCTCTCGGGTGACCAGAATACTTCAAGTCAGTGTCACCATACAATAAATCTGGCCTTCTCCAATTGTTCAACAGCAAATTATTTCTCTCGCTTATGCCCACAAGCGCACACACAGACAGCCTTGCTTTGCTACAGAAAGGTTATGGTACATTAGCTCAGAGCCCAGTTAACCCTCACAGGACTGGGGTGTGACAGATGCCCTTTCACACACTAACCGAGCAAAGGTATACAGAGTTCACTTTTCAGAAGCATACAACCTCAGTTCCAGTTTGAGTCAAGAAGAGTAACTTCATCTTCAGTTCATCGTCAGTCTACATATCTCACTAACTTTTAGTGTTGATTTTTTTCACATCAACACCATAAATAATCAAACAATGGAATTCTTTATTAAGCCTGTGATGAAAACCTAATCGTATTCTGCGCATCTTTGTCTGATTTTCATCACTGACAGATCCCTCTCTTTGGGTCAGAGTGCGAGGGGTTAACAGGAAAATGAAGTTTGCTACTGTGGAGGGAACGTGATGCCCCTTGTACCCCCGTGCACCCCCCAGAGAGAGTAACTGCCCTTGGCTGGGGCTGTTGTGCACCCCTCCTACTCCCCTGCCATTCAGTTCTGCATCAGGGGGCACTGCTCTGCCAAGGCAGGCTGGTCACATGACCAACACAAAGGCTTATGGGTGGGCAGTCTCAGCCATCCATCACGTGGTTCTGTTGGGTGTGGGTGGGCAAGCGAGAGGAGAGGGAGAGCGAACGGGAGAGGATGGTGGGGGATGGGCAGCCGGTTTGGGGTGAGGAGGCGAGTGAAGGAGGGGTGTTAACTGTCGTGGAGGAAGCACTGAGGTGTTTCAGTGAGGAATTTTCTTCCCTGATACCCCCCTCCAACCAGCCAACACCGTCCCACCCCACCCTGCCAACCCCCGCTCCTCAACGCCCCCTTCTTGCTCCAAACTACAATCACACACTCCTTCCCTCTCTCCCTCTCCCTCCCTCCCTCCCTCCTCGCTGTACTGCAAAGCCTGGAATGTTCCAACCCGAGCTCTTCAGCCAGTGGACATAACCTGGAGTTCAGCTTCAGTGTCTCTATGTGCACGCACATGCATTTTAGTGCCTCATGCAAAATAATTACTCAAACTAAAAAAAACAAAACAAAAATAAAAACACATAAGGTGTCAAAGTATAAAATCCCCTCATTCAGACAAACAGACATTAAGACTGATACACTGTGCTACAATACCAACAAAGTTTGCAGTTTACACCCTGATAGCACGAGAGAAATCAAAACCACAACTGTGTGTGAAACACAGTTGCAGAGTTTAGCCTCAGCAAGGGGAGTAACCAGCAGAGACCCACAGGCCTCATACAGGTGAGGACTGAAACAATGCACAATGCAAGCTGAGCTATTATTGGTGAGTCCAAATGGGCAAGCTCATGTCTCAGCAATGCCAGGCTGAGATGAGTTCTGTTGACTCACTGGTATGAGTGCGTTGGCCAGTAACTTTAATTTGAATGTAGCACATACGTTGACTGACCATGTGGTGATGATGGGTTTGTGTCTGTTATATGTGTCAGCATTTGCATGTGTGGGTTTCCTGTGAGATACAGAGTGTAGAAAAGGGAGGTGGGGGGGTGGGTGGGGGCGCATGTGTGCTTGTGTTTCTGTGTTTCTGTGTGTATGTGGTGTGTGTGTGTATGTGGTGTGTGTGTGTGTGTGTGTGTGTGTGTGTGTGTGTGTGTGGGGGTGGCTGCCTGCATGCCTGTGTGCAAGGCTTGTTTACTGAGGTAGTGAGGCTGCCATTTTTCCTGTCTGTGAGAATCAGATATCTCCCAGTGACACACAAAGACAATGTTTTTGTCCTCCTGGTTCATAACCTATATTATCTATGCCTCGTCAATGGCTCAGCACAGCATGACCTCCTTTCATCCCCTAGCCTGACTCCTGTCTAGGCCTGGGCTATATCCTCTGAGTACAGGCCAATTATAGCACTCACACACACTAGAAATCCTACCGCTTGGTCACAAAGTGTAGCTGCATGCCAACTTAACTTCTCATCTCATCACCTAGCCAAGAATACAGGTGTAATGCTGATATCTGTGTACGAACTGTTCTCTTCACTCGGACATAGAGTAGGTGTACAACATAGGCAGCCCTTTCCTTGTTTGCTCCATTTCTTGTTACTGCTCTCGTCTTTTTTCCTCCCTCTTCGCCTGTCTCTTCACCCTCACTCCCCCTCCCTCTTCCAATAGTCTCTTCACCCTCTGTCTTCCCCTCCCTCCCTCCCACCGTTCCTTCTTCTCCTCCCTCTCCAAGCAAGTTTGGCCCAGGGAGACAGGTCGGCAGCGCCACTGGTGTGTTACTGTCCCCATGGCAACCACCTCCTACCCTCTTTCTCTCTCTCTCTCCCTCTCTCACCAGCTCATTTCTCTAAAGCACATGCGTGTGGGTAAACACGCACAAACATGGTTACTCAGATGCACACACACACTACTCTTATACCATCCAGTCCTTGGCTCTAGCGGAGCTTGTTTGTTCCATACACCCCTGTGAGTGGTATTTGGAGAGTCCCTGCCCTGCTCCTATTTCAGTGCCTCCCTCACGCGGTGTTGATGTCTCCCAGCTAGGTGCGGTCACCGTCGTCAAGGCACACTATTGGTCAGAGCTGATGGCGTCTCTTCCTGTTAACTCAGTGCCCGAGTCCCCTGTCCAGACATCTGCTTGGGCCACTGCTCTCTGTGGCTCTTGTGTTTGGCCTGTAGTGGCCTGAGGCATGCAGGCTTCTTGTATTCACTGTAGGCAACGCAGGCATGGATACATAAACACGCCCGAAATCCTGGCAGATGCTATCTCTTTCAGAGAGAGAATTGAAGAACCACCTCTGTCCCCCAGTGTATTCAAGATAATTATCAAGTCTGCACCAGGAGACAAACCCTTTGCCATCTACGAGTCAGTTCAAAAACACAAACTCTGTGCTTTTTTGTCCTCTGTACACAAATTCTTTGCCTTGTTTTCTTTTAACCCAAAACACAAACACTGTGCCAGTTACTTAATTTACTCCCACCTTAAACAGACATGGCTCCAGCCAAGCACCTCCTGTCAATCAACTCATTCACTCATACCTCTGCTGACAACCACGGCTCACCACTCTAAATGCTTACATGTTTTGTTGAGTCTGAACTCCTCTCCATTCCCGTTTTAATTCTTTACACAACATTGGCAACATTAAGAAAACCTCTAAGACAGCATTCCTACAGTGTCATTCCATCTGCTCCTGAGTCCCATCTGGGCTGCTCTCAGGTCAGGGAGTGGATGGCTGCGTGGGATGCAAACGGCTGCATTGCTGTGGCCACTGCCAGTGCACGCGTTAAAACTGGGTTGCTGAGAGGGGAGGGAGAGAGAAATGGCGGAACACCATGCTCTGTGCTGTCCAACCTAAAATGGCTGACATCACAAGCTGTTAACCAGCCAAGCAGAGCAAGAGGCTACTACTGCTGCTTCTGCTGCTGGCGACCCAAACCTACTCGCTCTGGACGTGTGAGAGGATCACACTGCTCTCCCCCAAGACTGTGAAAAGGCTCTTGAGTAGCAGCCGACTCTGTTTTTGTGGTCATACTTGGTAGAGATCTGCAAGTAAATCGTCATTACACGGGTCAACAGAAAAGAGACGAAACTGACTGATGAAAAGTCATTACAGAAGGACTGACGCACAGAAAGGATCCCTCACTTTCATTACAACATCTGCTAATCATGTGATGCTTAATGAGAAAACTAGTAAAGCAAAGCAAAGAAGATTCTCAATATGTGAAATGAACAAAAGTACAAGGCCAAAATACGATTTCAGTAAGTGCTGTGCTGATGAATCCTTTCATACAAAGCAGCTCAACCTGTATCAGCTGCAAACCTGAAAGTGAGGGGAAGACGAGAGAGGGAGAGAAGGAGAAAGAGAGGGTGGGAGGTGGTGATGGAGGAGGGGGGTGGGGGGTGGGTGAGTGAGACTATTCAATGAGATGTGCATGCATTGAGCTTCAAGCCATCACCACAGAACACAATGGAAATACAGCAAGATGAGGCACAACAACAAAATAATAATAATTACAATATAATAATAATACATATAATATCAAAACTTTTGTTCAGCTGTTTCAAACAGCTGAGATCGACTATTTCTTGTATCCAAGAAAAAGTCTGATATAGCCAAACTTGTGATCATTAACAACACTATGCAAACTGTTTTCTTCTGAGAGTAAAAGGCGGTACTGTGGATGATAAATAAATAGCTGGATTAAGCTACATGTCTATGCCTGGGACTCACGTGGGCATCAAACACAAATTAGCTGTCTGGGAAAGCTTTGCTCTAATCCCTGGAGTCACACACACTCATGACAACACTGACATGATAAATAACCAAGGCAACAGTTTGAAAACAGGCAACAAGGAATAAAGCATGAAATCTGATTATAGTTTATGAAAAGTGTGGAAGTCTTGATTTTAAACCAAAGTCTGGTAACACAAACGTAACATTTTATTAGATCCTGACAAAAATTAAAAAAAAAAAAATATATATATAGGCTATAAATATATGTAGCCCTATTAACACACGCTTGTGGGTAAACCACAGTAAATTACTTTACAATGTTCATGGGGCAACTATGTAAAACAATATTAGTTTTAACTGATATGGGGTCAAAGTGATTTCTAACTTCATTCATAGCGTAAATTGAAGAAATGGGGAATGCTGCCAGTTGCTAAGGCGAAAATCGTACGGGTCTGACTTTCAAATACACCGATATCTATTTACAACTACCATGAAAACAGTGTTTCTAAAAACGTGAATAAATAGCGGTATTTTGTGAAACAGCACTGACACAAAGTGGTTGCACTGTAACGTCAGTCCCTCAGCGCGGCGGCGTCAAATATTTCCGAAAATGATGCGTGTTCATCTTCCGCTCAAGTTAGGCGGAGTGAGTCCCAACTTAATGGGCTTGTCTACATTATATGTTAGAAACAGTAACCAATTCAGAGCGGAGGAAAAGGCAAGCCCCCAGCCCAAAAAAACTACTCTCTCTCCCCCCGTTGGCTGTCGCCATTTTAAGCAGGCGACGTGCAGCTGGCCAGCACTGCTGAGCCAAAGCGCAGCCCGCAAAGGTAAGGCTTCACAATAGCTCACACAAGTTTGGGAAAGGCGAAACACTTGTATTAATGTGTATCATAAAACCACACTCACCTCGCCTTTTGTCGGAGCTCAGTGTATGCAGCGCAGGATTTAAAAAGTTTACAATGATATGGGCTCAGTGGAGCCAGAAACTGACGTGAGGTTTGGGCTTCACTGATGGCAACTTATAGGTGTAAGCCCCCTCTGTCCATCGGCTGGTGATAAACGTGACACTGGAGCCAGACCGGTCCCTACAACGACCCCCTGTTTTTGCGCTTGTTTATTTCGAGTGGCTCTCAGTGTTAAAGCAGGCGGTGGAGGGGAGGAAAATACGACGGACCTACCGAGGGAAGAGACGGACACGTGACGCAGACGTCACTGACGGTGGAGTTGGCGTGAGAGCTCGAGCTCCGCCGCGCAGAGAGCAGAAGTGAATCAGACATCCCGTCCTGACTTTGACCCAACACAACAGGGGGGGGATAGAGGGGTCGCGGTCAAGTTTTCATAAGGGATAAAACCGTTCAAAGTCCCGGTTGAAAGTGATGTTACAGCTACTCACACCTGTCCCCTTCCCAGGTGACCTCTCTTAAAGAGATAGTACACACATTATGTCAAAAGTTACCCTGCATTTACCCCCCCCCAAATCAACAAACGACCACTAGAGAAAACACTTAAAGCTAATATACAAAATATGCATAGATGTCAGTTCATTCAGTATCACAGACATGTGGGTTAATCAACCGGCTGCTGGTCATGAACCTTCACACCATCCATCTCACAGTATCACAAGCCTGCAAACATCAGATGAAATCTTACAGCGATAGAAATGTATCCTAAAATGTCACTAAGTTAAAATTGTTAAGTTTAGAGAACTCATGTTGTGCCTTCATCAGCTTCTTTGTTTCCATCGAAGCAGCTGTCCTGACCCAGGGGAAAAAATCAGACTTTCGAAAAACCCAGCTGACACACACTGAACCTGGGGCTGTTTTGGGGTCTGGGACATGTTTAAAATCCTCATAGACAGGAAGAGAAAAATATTTATTACATAAACTCGACTTAATAGTGTTCAAGTAAATGCTGAATTGCTGAATATAATTTTTTATAGACAAATATGTTTTATGTATGTTTATTATGAAAGGGCCAGAAAGTCATCCTGACCATATCCATATCCAACACTTAGCTGCCCATTTATTAGTATAATACATTACAATTCAACAGCACCACACACTACAGCCTCCAAAATGTTCATGAAAACCCAGTCTCAAGAAAAAATGAACATTAGGATTTATTATTGCAAGGTAGTGTGCCTTACCTCACAAACTAGCACCTGAGTGAACAGTAAATGCAGGTCTCACATAAAAGTTGTTAATAACTGCAAATGTTACTGGAGTTTTGACTTCTTCAGACCACTTTCCTTCTCCGTGCACCTTGGAAAAAATCCAGACCCTGCTTCCTGTTAATATAAATCCACCCATGGCAGCTGTGAGAATGTACCATGGTGTCATTGTGGTTCTTGCATTTCTAAAAGAAGACTACAACATTTTACATTAATACTTAAATCAAAGTAACATTGTAGAAAAACCATGGTCCTCCTATAAAAAGGATATATACCTGGAAAAGCTTCTCAGTTGCAGCAGCAAGGACACATGGATACTTTGCACTGGAGTATTAATATCATTGGAGCAACAACTTTTCACATAATGCATCAGGGTAACTGTGACTGTAAACTGCAAACACATCATATAAGATTATTCTCAGACTTATTATTGATTTTCCATTATACTGTGATTATTTTGCATGCATGCAATCAGACTCAAATTATACACAATGACATCCCCCACATCTTCCTCCATGAGTCATGAGCTCAGTGGACTCAAAAGAGAAACTAAGATTGAACTATAGATGCACTTTATGTATCTTGTATTTAGGGTATTTGAGGAAAAGATATTTATTACTACACTGATTCCACAGTATATGAGACCACATATATCAAAATACACACACATACTAATGCCCCTGAGTTTGAAAATAAATTGAAATATAACTTATAGTCTTAAAATTAGTATTTTTAGATTTAGATTTTCCCAATGCAATCACATACATACTATCCTAGATTGATTTTAATTTCAGTTTCATTTTGTATGTCATCATATTTTGTATCCACTCTCAACTTAATTTTGTAAGTTTTAGCAATAAATTCATAGGCAGTCTTTTCTTTTATTGAATATATTTACTCAAAAGTAAAAAAAAAAAAACATTTATTTGTCCATTTGGTTTTAGGACTGGGACTATGTGAGAGTAATCAATTAGAATAATTAACCGAATCACTCCATTAACACTACTTAATTAAGTGATATATCAATTCAGTTAAAATCAAGCGTTTGTGGTTTTCAAGTGATCAAGAGAGGCTGGAGCTGGGTACGACTTTGAGTGCAGTGAAGCTCATCATCATAAATGAAGCCCTCTGCTGGACAGCTGAAAGAACGACACAAAGATCTTCTCAACTGCCAAAACACTCCAAGAGGATACATAATGAGAGGAAACATAATCTAAGTGAGCTTCAAAATATCTATTTGAAATTAACCACGCATTAAACAATTACCATTGTCATTGCATTAAGTCTGTAAACTAAGTAATGTACATGCATTTATTCCTCCTTATCCTTGTTTTCTTCTACCTTTTAAGTTCTTTAAAAATATACTGTCACCTGTAGTTGATTGTGTCAATATCCTTTGAATATTAACTAGTTGCTTTGTAGCCTTATGGACTTTAATACTGCTCACTTGTTACTTCTTGCCATCCATCTAATATTTGTAGTGGAGCTGCAACAATTAATTGATTAATTCATCAACAGAAATTAATTGGTAATAATTGGTAACAATGTGGAGTATGATCAAAATTGTTGGAATTATTCTAAGGAAAATGGCCAGATTCTCTGGTCTCACAAATGTAGCCTAAGTACTTTCTGGTTTTATTAGTCTTCTATAAATGCAAACTGAACATCTCTCAGTTTTGGACTGGTAGTGGGGGGAAAAAAAACCAAGACAGATTTGCTTCATATTAGTTGAGTCAGAATTTTCTGTTTCCAAGTAATTAACACACAGAAAACCTTGGGCAAGGTAGAATTAATCCATCATAGAAGTACTGTAAAGCTTCAACAATTAATTTCCTTATCAGACAATTATTTTCTTTAATAATCGATTGTTTAGTGTGTAAAATGTCAGAAAATATTGAATGAATATGAAAACAAATATACCATTATTATTCCCTTAAACCCAAATGAACATATCCAAATGTCTTTTTTCGTCAAACCAACAGCCAATTTTGAATGAAACCAGGAAATTCACATTTGAAAAGCTGATACCAGATGACTTTTAGCATCATACTCAGTTATGATTTTCTGTCAACTGACTAATCAATTAATCAGCTTAGTCATTTCAGCTGTAGAATACTGGTTGCTCAGGGAAATAATTAAACTGACATGTATTGTGTGAGTTAGTAGGTGGCTTTTTAGGAAGGTTAATCCAGTTAATCCTGGGTTAATCCCAGCTCTCCACCACTGGGGGTCGCTGTGGATTTTACAGTATCTGTCAATAGCGGCGCAGAAACGTCGCACTCTTTCATTGGCTGTTGGTGGCTGGGGTCAAACAATATTGCGCATGCGCAGTTGGCCTTACACGGTTAGCGACAGAAATCTGTCAGATCAGCGGAGCGTACATTCCTGTAATACCTGCAAATATTTCACTCTACTTTTTTCTCCTAGTCAGTGCCAGAGACTTAAATTCAACCTGAGGTGTCGTCAGTTTTGGATTCTAACTTTTCGACGTCTGTAGCCGAAGGAAACAGCAAAGAATGACGAGCAGTTCAAAGCGGAAAGAAGAAAGTCATCTGCTGAATGGGGGTGTAAAACAGTCCACATGGACCAAAGCCTTCAGCAGTAATGCTATTTGGGAAGAGAAGGTCAGTCACTTGCCCTTTTTTAGCCCAACCATTATATCGTTGCATTTGCTTTCAAGTGCCTCAAAGTTATCAACGTAGCTAATTTATTGTCAGGTGTTCATAAAGACGGCTATAAGGAGCTAGCTGCCATGCTAAGGATTAATGTGGTTTGGCTGGGTTACCTGTCAAATCGAAAGATATACCATTAATTATCTCTGCGGTTTGGTCTTTGTCCAAGACAGATCAAGGAAGTCGACGACTTTTAAATAGTTGTTGGTGCTCATGACTCCCTACTCATTGAATTCAAGGTATCATGTCTTTGAAAAGCTTTTTAAATGTTCCGTAATGTCTTCTCACACCAGAGTGCTTTGCTTTTAAGTAGTCTAGGCCTAGGCTGCAACTAACGATTAATTTAACGATCTATTACTCTGGTATTAAATTTATTATTAAGTGTTAACGCTGTAAAATGTCAAATGTAAAATTGCAAAATTGCCATCAGTTTCCCAGAGACCACGCTGACATTTACAATTACTTTTGTTGGTCAATCAATAGCCCAAAACTCAAAGATATTATATTTAAACTAATGTAAAACAGAGAAAAGCAGCGAGAAAGTTTGAACTAGAGAAAGTTTTTTACTCAATTTATGGAGTAAAAAACTCTTCACTTTAAGGTTAGCTGACAATTAATTTTTTTGTTGATTGGCTGAATCCAGTGACATGTCTCTCTTGCATGCTTTCTGATGTTGTGTTAAAGTCTATTTCTCTGTCAGTTTATGTTTCCCAAGCCTTAACCCAAATACTTAATTTAAGTTAACTTGAATTAAGCCCCAAACCAAACCACAGAGGTCATTGCTGCAGGAAACACTTTTGACACAAGACCAGTGACACATTCTCACTGTCTAGTCAAAACAGTAGATTATGCGTTCCTATGGTGAACAGTTTTTTCTGTTGAAGAAACAAGGGCTAGACCAGCCCTGAGTACCAGCATCAGGGCTCGATCTCACACACACACTCACGCACACACGACTAAGGTTGTTTTCTCTGAGTAAAGTTTCTGTGTTTCTTTTTACAGGACGAGTTTTTAGATGTGATTTACTGGCTCCGACAAATTATTGCAGTAATCCTTGGTGTGATATGGGGTGTTGCGCCGTTGAAAGGATTTCTGGGAATAGCCATGTAAGTATTCTATACCATCTGTCACTGAGCCTGTCCATATCTGAAGAAAACACAGAAAATCTAACGGCTTCATGTGTCTGTCCTGGCAGATTCTGCATCATCAACGCTGGCGTCCTTTATGTATACTTCAGCAGCTTTCAGCAGATCGATGAGGAAGAGTATGGTGGCACGTGGGAACTCACCAAAGAAGGCTTCATGACATCTTTTGCTCTGTTTCTGGTGGGCATGCTAATATTTATGGAAACACATAGACTTTTTGCTTTTTAGTATAGCCTACATTTCCTCTCACTTCTTTTTCTCCGCTGTTTATTGTATAGAGTATACTATATGATAACGGTTTTAAGTACCACTGTTGCAGTTGTACTTGATGATTCACATACTACAGTGATCTTATGTCGACCTAAATGCTAGCTTAAACAAGACCTAGTCAGTACATTTTTTTTGCTGAGCACGATTACAATGGTTTCAGTCTGATCTGTTGTGACAGATGTAACCGCCTGCTAAAAGCTTACACTTCACTAAAAGCTGACTCTTCACGTCTAATACGTTAACTTGTTGCACCTTAGTGTTGTATTTTTGAAACAAGGGACATTATCTTTAAAATAATTAATGATAATTGTTCTATACTGTGTAGACTTTGAATGTTATAGCAGAAAGGGCAGTGTACACCAATTTCAGATTGGTTCTTTTTTGAATTGTTAAGCTTTTCAATTTACCACTTTTCATGGTTTAAAAATAGCCCAAGATCCAAGTTGAAAGTTTTAATGAGTACAAGTACAATGATTCGTTTCAATTCACACCTTTAACCTGTAGCCTTTCAAGTCTGTCTTAAAACAAACATAAACAACAACAAAAATACAAAAAAGACTGTAACTTTGGAAGATACTTACTTCATTTGTCTAACTTAGACAGCTGAAGTATCAAAGAACAAAGACTATGGATTTTGTCACTTTCATTCGATTTGTATTAGGAAGGGATTTCTTCTTGGCCAGTATGGACAGGAGAAATGATCAAAGTGACCAGAAACTGGTTCAGAGTATGTGGAGGCATGCAAATATTGTTTTAAAATAGACTTGAAAAATTGTGAACCTTTCTATTAAGCCAGGCTCAGACTAGAGTTTAAGGCTGATTTAACCCAATTTCACCCCTTTCCAACAATTGGAGAAGAAATCTGGTCCTGGACTTGGTCGGTGCTGATGTTCAGCCCAGGTTATCTAGTAATGTGAGGGGTTCACAGATCAAAACTAAACTTTTGGGAGTTAAAATCAGGATGATTTTGATTATGTCAGTCTCGGAGCAGTTTACAGTGTTCCCAAACAGCAGTAAACATTTTCGCTCTTGAGGCTAACGTTAGCTAGTTCACTACTGTTGAACTGACAGTTAAAATCTCACCTCCAGTTAACACTGAAGAATAGACACACTGTGTTTACCACATCTCCCCACCCATCCATTTTCTCTACTCACTTTCTACTACTCAATTTTGGTTAGGTTAGGATTTCAAAACTCATGTAGTCTGAGGCTGGCTGTAGAGTATGAGAATATTTTAATTTCATTTAAGAATCAATTGTAGTGTATAATAATCAAGTCATAATGCTGGGGCTAATCAACAAATTTTATTTCACCATATAAGCCAGTGTTTAATACATTTATGATGCTTACTGCAAATTCATGAACCTTCCCCATCATGCCATAACATGATAGATTCAGCTCTTTGTGAAGTATGTGATTTGCTCATTAATCTCTGATGTGTCTTTGTTTTTGTCTTTACCAGGTGGTGTGGATAATCTTTTACACAGCTCTACATTTTGACTGAGAGGAACCCATAGGACACTAAATACAAATCTTTCTGTTGAAGTAAATTGTCAAGACACAGGAACTCCATGACTTGAGGAGTGTCAACACTCCTACATACAGTATGACTTCTCAGTGTGCAGTGCATCATGGGAATCCTAGTTTGAATAACAAGATACTGCAAGACCACCGTGATGAACATGTTCAAATACTTCTTCTTAATTTGAGAGTTCTTTTTAAAGTACTCTCCAGTACACTTCAATTTGTTATATTTCCTTCCCAATATCATCATCATCTCTGACAAAACAGTACAGATACAGAAAGCAGTTCGGCTCAGATTGGTGGCATTTCAATTTATGCTGGAACAGTACCTTGATATAACACAGGAGGATGCTTTCTCTTGGTTGGCTTACTACAGGGCCTTTCTTCTGCTTTAGAAGAGTGACATGAACACAGGTTTTTGACTGTAAAGACAACTCGTATGTGTATTCATCAAAGTTTTACTGCTCACTCAAATTACAGGAACTGGGCAATAAAAAAAGTCTTGTCATTTAGTCATTATGATTCAATCCGTCTATGAGTGTTAAGTGTTACCTTTTTAATTTAGGGGCAAAACGCACCATATCAGATGTGCTACACTAACAGTAAGGGATGAATTCTGTGGCTTCACAGCAAAATTTCACTCCAAAATTACATGCTTGCCTTTTTGAGAAATTAATCTGGGCCTGAGAATAATATAGAAAGTGGCATGACAGTAAAGCGCCTTATAGGTTACTGTTAAGGTTACCAGCTACAGTATGTGTTTGGCTTCAAGGGTGGAGTCGTCCTTTTTCATGAAATAATAATATAGGTGATTCAGAACTTCATGATTGTTTTTTTGTTTTTTTACTCACTAGATATAAACAAGACATTTTTGAATGAAATCTGTCAATTGTAATTTCTTCTAAAGGGTCTGGTGTCCAACTAAATGTGAAAAATCGCAGCTCACCACAGCTGAAATCTCACTTGAGCTCATTTTAACATCAAAACAAATGCTGGTTGTAAGATACGTATATCAGCTGATATCCAATCCCAATGCCAGTATCTGCTAGCAGTATCCATGCGCTGTAACTTCAGTCAGGAACTAATCGCCGTCTAAGTAATCTGTTCATCCAAATTAATTCCTGCAAATGCAAAGAGGGAGGAAACATGCATGTTGTGTTCAGAAGCAAATGTTCAAAGATTTAACCTGGCCTGTGCACTGCCATGATTTGCTGTTCGTATATCTAGATGTCATTTATTAATGGCATTAGTTAGGAGGGTAGAAATAATTTAAATTTATTGTTTTCTCACATGTAGCTTCCAGATCAAAGTCTTACCTGTTGTTTTGGAATTAATTTAACTTGTCTGTAAATTCTGTACAATGTCCCTTTTGTCAAATCCACATTGTATTACACAGATTTATTTGTACTTATGTTATATCTTGTTCGATGTAACATATTTCTCAGTATTTTATAGTGAAGAACTTTTAAAAACAGTTCTTTCAAAGTTATTGTACTGATACTGTTATATTAGATATGCAGCTGGTTTGAAAGGATTGTATTTTCTGATCAAATCTTTTGGGAATCATTAAACATGGGCTTTATTTGGCCTCCATTTTCAAAGAGATTGTATCTTGTTTATTGAAATGTAGAAGGAATTCAACCATGTCAGTTTTTGTCAGTTGATTCATTTGGGCGTTGCTAAAAGATTTGCATCCGCTTTCACACTGGACTAAGCTGGTGTTATGAAGAATAAATGCAGTTGTCACTTTAGTTACTCTTCCTATTGAAACACTGGCCAGTTGAGCTGTCTTTGTGACTGAAGCTCCAGCCATCTGTGCCCCAACAATGAACACTCTTAAAGACACTTAGATCTTTTCTTCTTGCAATCTTGATAAAAAATCAAGTGGGTTCAACATGTTTATACATGCCACAGAGCATGAATGGATGTTCATTGCTTAATTGCAGTGTTGGGGAAGCTACTTTGAAGGCATTGCTTTACAAGCTACCAATTACTTACTACACACTGAAATAAGTTGAACTAAAAGTAAAAGCAAAAGTACCCAATGGAGAAATCTAGGTTAAATAACTAAAGCCACTTAGAAAAACAGTAGCTCAAACTACTTTGTAAAAATTCTAATAAAATATAATACAAAATAGCCACTTCCAGCGAAAGATGCCAGTCAGTTGAGTTTATTGCAAAAAGTGCCTACTTTTTTACAGGTCATAGCATAACATAAACCAAACATAAAATACTCCACTATTCAGGCTGAGATTTGGAAGACTTACCCATGATGACTTTGTTGCTGTGTGAGCAATGAGCAACACCATCCTTGGCTTTTACTACACACAGTTCAAGTGTGTGGTGGTGACTGTTTATATATATGCATATATACATATGCATCATCTGGGCATGTCTTAACAGCGGTCGGGCTGGTCAAAGGGGTTCAATTACAGAAGAGAAGCAATGGTATAACAATGATAATAATTAACAATAAAAACATTCCTTTCCTTTCATTTTCCAAAACTAATTTGTAGTTTCAGTAGTTAAATACACAAAAATGACAAAAAAAGAAATTTCACTACTTGAATCACAATACATTTATGAATGTAGTTGAACTAGCAGCAAGCTACTACTAGTTAAATTACATGTAGTTCACTGGTCCCCAACATTGCTTAGCCTAATTGTACATCTTCATTTATTAAGTTTATTCAGGTTTTTCCCATAATTTGTCACTAGTTTGTAATTAAATTGTCATAATTACATCAACAAATCATAATGATTTCTCATTAACGTACATGTTCTCATCATGACATATCCATTTGTGTCTGAAAAGTAGTTAATGAAAGGGGTTCACCCAAAACTAATTGGTCATGATCCGGCTAATTGTCAGTGAGCCTGCACTTTTGCCGTTTTTGCTATAAGACTCGTTGCTATGACTACAGCTCACTTTTAACCATTTCAGATAAACCAAAAACTCCTAACTCGTGTCAAATTGTAGCTTGCAGCTGTTTTGAATCGCACTGACGTCACTCCTAAAATCTCTGGAAACCACAGATAGTGACGCAATCCGCAAAGAAAAAAAGAAAGAAAAAAAAAAACATGTGACGTAGAGGGCAAGATGGCGGCTCCCCTCGCCACGATGAAATTTTGGAAGCCGGGTAAGTACGAAAAAAATGAATAAATTAGGCATTTGATGCAACTTTTTCGGATTTCTGTTTTGTAATGTACAATTGCTAACGTGAATCGGGTAGTCTCGGTTTGACTGCTGCCTCCTTTACAGCAGCTACGTTATATCTGCAACCAGCTCAGTTCAGGCAACGTTAGCTCTGCAGAGTCAAAGTACAACCTGACAAAATTAAACGCAAAGACTATGAGGCAGAAACTACCACAACTACATGAATACATAGGATCAAAATGGCACCAGCGAAGGCGCTTTCATCGTTCATATGTAATTCCTTTCATGGCATGGGGGCATTGCACTAAACCCTGGCTGTCATCCTCATACATCCTAAGCCTGCTTACATTTGAATAAAACAACTTATCTTCACCTTCACCATCTGCTCTGCCTCAGGGTCTGAGGCACCGGGGATCTCAGAGGAGCGGGAGCTCAACACAGAGACCACCGGCTCCCCCATCATATTCAACCCGCACACCGCCCTCTCTATAGAGAAACAACGACAGAAACTCCCTGTTTTCAAGGTTTCTCACCGCCCTCTAAAACATGCCTGAATGTAACTATAATGTGACAGATGGACTGAGTGTGCTTGCGCCTCTGCGGGTGATTTTCAGTGACTTCTTTTAATGAGCTGTTTTGTGAATTGTTTCTTATCCAGCACAGAAACAACATCTTGTACTTGGTGGAGAGTTACCAGACGGTCATCATAGTTGGTGAGACGGGATGTGGGAAGACAACACAGATACCTCAGGTTATTATAATTAAACAACATTTTGGCACCATTAAATAAACAGCTTAAAATGAGTGAGAACTGGTGAACAGCAATTGTCATGTCTACTCTGAAAAGGGCGACATACCCTCACTTCAAAGTCACATATGCCTCAAATATAATACGCACAAGGCACAACATTACTGCAGTGGACTGATAACCTTCATGTGGCTGAACTCCCATAGTGTTTTTACATGCCCTTGTCTTGATGCTTAGTAGCCTCTTTTTTTTTTTTTTTTTTTAGCAGGGTTTGGAGCACATCAGCTTGAGCTTAATTTATGCAGAATGTGCTTTTCTGCAACATCGACATCTCCATCTCATGCTTTGTACTCCTCTTCTTTTTTTGGATCTACCTTCTCTTTTCATCTGACTCTTTTCAGTACCTGCTGGAGGCTGGCTGGGCAGCAGAGGGGAAGGTGATTGGAGTGACACAGCCTCGGCGTGTGGCTGCTATCTCTGTAAGAGCTCTGCTGATGTCCTGTCACTGCTCAGCTCCTTCGTTGTTTTAATGTGCTTTCACTGCAAGGACACATGCTTGCTTCAGATATTACATTTCTCCCCTCTTTCCTGCTGGTAGGTTGCAAACCGTGTTGCAGAGGAGCGGGGAGCCCTGCTGGGACATGAGGTGGGGTACACCATCCGATTCGATGACTGTTCTGATCCCCATGCCACAAGGATCAAGGTATTCCCCCGGCAAATGTGTGCGTTTTTTCCTTTGATTGGTTCCTTACAGTATTTGACTGTCCCTGTGTCCATCAGTTCCTTACAGATGGCATGCTGGTGCGGGAGATGATGGCTGATCCTCTTTTGAAAAAATACAGGTACATGATTGCAATTAAGCCATTACATAGGCAGATTACGCAGCAGATATTTTGACTTGTCATAGTGTGGCAGTGAGCCGGCGTGCACGATGCCACCACCATGAAAGTGAAGCAGCTAAGTGAAATTGTGCTTTTCCTCCTATGAAATGTCAAAATGTCTTGTTTTCGTTGTCAAGATTGGGTTGGAGCCACTCTTGGTGATGCTAATGTTCTTTGTTGTGCTGTTATCCCCAGTGTGTTAATGCTGGATGAAGCACATGAGAGAACCCTGTATACAGACATAGCCATTGGTCTACTTAAGAAGGTAATGTCAGCTGATGCTGTCAGCAGATTCAAACTGAACTGTACTGCATAACTTTCACCTAAACTTTAATTACTTTACCAGCCATGAAAATATTCTTACAAGTTTTTTTTTTTTTTTTCTTTATTTCTGACTCTCCATTCTGTTCGCGTCGTTACGTTTTCTGACTCTCTTCAATAGATTCAGAAGAAGCGGCGAGACCTGCGGCTGATTGTGGCCTCCGCCACTCTGGATGCCAAGGTGACTGCATCATTAAGATGAACAGATATGCTTGATTAGCGAGAAAAGAGAAACAAAGACAGACACGGGGAAAGTTGATGTCAGGTCGGATCACATTGTACTGACATCTGCGATACACTGATAAAAGGGAGACACAATCAGGCCACAACTGCACTCAGCATTAAACAAGTCAGCTGAAATGCCACATCAGACATCTACTGTACTGCCTGTTTTTTTTAAAAAAAAAAAGCTTTTACCTACACATGCAAATTATTTTGTTGTACCGCAGTACTAAGAACGTCCAATTGAGGGCAGCAAGAGTATGTCATTCCTTTGCTGCTGCAAAACATTTGGAAAATGCCATTTGATGAAAAAAGAAAAGAAGAAATCCCTCCTTAATGCTCTTTTTACCAACTGTAATATCCCTTTCATCTGAAGAAATTCCATGACTTCTTCAACCTGAATGAGACTGCGGATCCGAACAAGGACACATGTGGTATTCTGACAGTGGAAGGACGCACCTTTCCAGTGGACGTCTTCTACACTGTCAGGTACTCAACACACATACTCCAGTCTGAGGAAAAAATGTGTAATTTGTATACGTCTTTTCAATTTCGCACTGTCTTTTGTTCACTCTCAGTCCTGTCCCAGACTACGTGAAGGCCACAGTGGAGACAGTGATGAAGATCCATGAGACAGAAGATGATGGAGATGTCCTGGCTTTTCTAACTGGACAGGTTAGTGGCCATATCTTTAATACTACTCAACCTTTATTTAATAACTTCTTTTTGACAGGAGGTTGTGGATTGTACACCAGCATCCCATTTGTTATTTTATAACTATAATGTATTGTGGTCAATCTTTTTTTCCCCGTCTTTGTCTTAATTGTCTTCTCATCCTTTTTCCCTTGTATTTTTCCCTTTAGGAAGAGGTGGAGAAGGTGGTGTCGCTGCTGCAGGACCAAGCTAGGTCTCTGTCACGATATGGCATGAAAAAACACCTGAGAATTTTGCCCATGTACTCTGGTCTACCATATGCTGAGCAAATGAAGGTCTTTGAGAGGGCGCCTTCCTCTGTTCGCAAGGTGAATCCTGCCTGTTTTTGTGCATTTTGTGCATGTACAGAGAAGAGGCATTTGATGTAAAGTTTGCAGTTCTGTCATTTTGCATATGGCCCATAACTCTAAAAGATCAAAATATAAATACACCAGCATGTATTACCGCACTTAAATGGGAGTTTTTTGGCATGAGATGCTAATTAATAAGAACAATTGCATAAAATCATGAGTTACATATATGACCTCCATTGCAGGTAATTCAGCCATATTATGTTAGAATT